AACTCCCCTTAAAGGTGTATTCATTAAACTGGAAATTGTAAAGAATGCACCAGATTTTAGGGCATAAAATAGCATTGCTGAAATAACTTTGTGGATACAAGATCCACTTTGTAGTTCATCTATTTTGGTTGAAAACTTGCCATTCCATTTTTATATCTCAGTTTGGTGAATACTATTTGCAATGCCTGTGAAAGCTAAAAATTGACCAGAGAACTTTTTTTTTTTTTAACCAAAATAGCTGAAATGTTTTCAGCTTGGCTATTAATGCTCAAAATTCCAAATTCCCTTGTCAGTTCTTACAGTCAACAAAGACTAACCAATACACTCTATTATTAAAAGACACTATAGGCACCCAGACCACTTAATTTCATTTAAGTGGTCTGTGTGCAGTTTCCCTGTACCCTTTGCCCTGCAATGTAAAACATTGCAGTTTTAGAGAGTTAAGACTGCCTCTAGATGTGCTTCCTGTAGTTTCACAGAGTTTGACTCTGTGAGACGACTCTGGACGTCCTCATACTGTGCATGAGGACATTCAGTGTCAAGCAAAACCCCATAGGAAAGCATTGAGTCAATGTTTTCATATGAGGAAGGCCTAATAGGCAGATGTTCATGGATCGGGGTGGGGGTAGGGGTAGGGAATGGGGTAAGTGAATAAAGGGCTATTAAACCCCTTACAATACATCTTTGTATTCCTATCACTAACCACGTTCCTTTAACCGTGAACACGAACAATCTCTAACCTCTATCCCCATAACTCTAAACACTTAGAGCCCCAATGGCCAGCACACAAGAGAATGCTTTATTCACCACATGGTTACACCAGACCTGACATCAGTGCCACGGTGGAAGTTGTTACTGTGATATATTTCTAACTTTGGAATTTAAAGTGAATTTGAAACGTTAGACAAAAATATCCAAACTTTAAAATTCTCTGAGTTATACAAATTTGTATTCCTAACACTCTAGTGCCCTTGTCACTGTTTAGGTGACTGCCAACCCCTCTCCCCTGCAAGGTTGAATTGTGAGCTCTCTGAAAGTTAACTTACCTTGTATCCCACACCGTGCTGCTCTGTCTGTGGCTGATTCCACCTCCTGGGCTGAAATCAGAAGTATGATCTCAGCCAATCCAATGCTTTCCCATAGGAAACATTGTGCGTCACAAATCAGATGGTTTCTTTTAGGGCATCTCATAGAAATAATGCAGTTTTACACCACTGTTTCTGTGGAGACGCCTCTAGTGGCTGTTAGTATGACAGCCACTAGAGGCAGGCTAACCCTGCAAAGAAAACATTTGGCCTAAAATTTGAATTCCTTACAAGTCACACAGTGCCAGAGCTATCCACTGTACATCTAAATTTATTGGTCATCATTTATTCAGTCGGTTATTTAGAGAAACATTTGAATGATTTCTTTCCTATGTTGTATCAGTTTTAAGCAAGTTTGTGTGAAATGTCTTGATGCTTTACAAATAAATAACCTTCTCCTTCTCCTCCAACTCAAAAAGCAAATAAAAAGTGGCTTAGCAAAGAGCTTGTGTAATGTCCACTGCAAGTCCAAAACCTGTTTTACCACTATAAAACCAAACACCATGGGGTTTATGCACTAAACACCAAAATACAAAACAAGCTGTCACTATAGCAAAATTGAACACATTTTCCAAACAAGCTATTTTGGCCTACAGTTTACAATTCACGCTTTAATTAACTACAATTCAGTTTTTAGTAAACACACCTCCAAAGAGACGCTGCTCCCCTTTGAGAAATGTTTGAAATATTCTCTAATGCAAGTACCAAAACCAAAACCACTAGATAGGGCTGTAATGAATATATTTCAAGTTTTTTAGAGAGGGTTCAGAGAAGGGCTACTAAACTGGTTCATGGATTGCGGGATAAAACTTACCAGGAAAGGTTAAAGGATCTTAACATGTATAGTTTGGAGGAAAGACGAGACAGGGGGGATATGATAGAAACATTTAAATATATAAAGGAAATCAACACAGTAAAGGAGGAGACTATATTTAAAAGAAGAAAAACTACCACAACAAGAGGACATAGTCTTAAATTAGAGGGACAAAGGTTTAAAAATAATATCAGGAAGTATTACTTTACTGAGAGGGTAGTGGATGCATGGAATAGCCTTCCAGCTGAAGTGGTAGAGGTTAACACAGTAAAGGAGTTTAAGCATGCGTGGGATAGGCATAAGGCTATCCTAACTATAAGATAAGGCCAGGGACTAATGAAAGTATTTAGAAAATTGGTGGGCCGAATGGTTCTTATTTGCCGTCACATTCTATGTCTCTAAGTGTTCCTTAGGTAACCTATGACAATGATAATTGTTAGACTTAATTCCTTACAATTACAGAGGTTTATTGTGTCTCTGCCTTTTGGTTAAGCTCAAGTACAAGTACTCATGTAGAGTATTTATGGAAATGGTATGAATCTACTGGCCTGAGGAATGGAGGGCTTTGAAACCTGAGGTACCACCAGACCCTAGGAATTGTTCTCCTGGTAGATGCTTCTTCACTTATTTATGGAGGTAGGGCAAGAAAATGATGAAGATCACAGTGTATTATGCACCAGGCAACTCTACACTCCCCACAGATGAACTTTTGGATGTAAGGTGGAGATTTTTCTCAAATTTATCCCTCTGCTGGTGGACAGCAAAGGCCACTAGTTTTTAATCCATGTAGCACTTGCACACACAGTTCTTCCAGTCATGTTTTTACCACTTTTTGTATTTCTTCCACATTTTTTTGTTTTACACTGAAAACAGCCACATTGAGGCCAAGACTGTATAACTTCTACACTATTATTGGTGGGAGATGTGTGATCTTGGTCTTTTGACAACAACGTCTGTAACGGAGCTCCCTGTACCCCAGCTGGGTACCTCCGCCAAGAACCGTTTCCTAGCTGGAGCAGGGGACAAACCTCAGCACTCTGGCCCTCAGTCGCTGTGGCTTGACTGGGGCCCTGGAACCGCTCCTTCCTGGAGCCGACTGGGGAATTAGCTCTAGACACCCCGAGGCATTGGACGACACTCAGTCCTGGGAGCGCTAGTCCTTACAAGGACTTTCTCCGTTGAATCCCCTGCAAGCTGGAACAGCAGACACAGGAGTAAATCTTCTTTCTCTCCAATAACAAGATGACACACAGTTTTGGAGTGTAAGCTGGAATAGGATTTTAATGGAGGCACACTGGCCTTTTTATGCAAGTTTCCCAACAAGAGTGACATCCAGGTGGACCTTGTTGGCCACAAGGACACAAAGTGAATAAACCAATATAAGTGAGACACTCCCATACACAAACAATAGAATCCCTCATCTGTGTTGGGAGATAATTGAATCAGGAACTGTACTAATCTAAACTAATTATTTCCACCCCGATCTGGGTGAACAACATATCCAAAAATCACCCAGATCAGTTCAGGGGTTCAGGAATTTCCTGGAAGTCATAGTTTTGACCGACCGTGCACATGCTCAAAACAGTTCCAGGGAAATCAGTGCTAACAGTCGGTTAAGTTTGGTAGTCTTTTACAGGTTTCCTTGCAGGGCCCATAGTCTGTGGGCAGGAGGCTGGCAAGCAGGCTCTTCCAGGAGCTCGTGGCAAACTCACTTGGAGAGGGGAGTTTGTCGCAACGTCTTTCTCGGTTCAACATGACTTTCTTGTTTCAGAGATTTTTCTTTGTGTGATGCAGTAGCAGAAAATTCTGTCTGCAAGATCCGATTCTACTGTCTGCGCCTTCCAGGCCAGGCAGGGATAGTAACAGTTTTGAACCCTCAGGGTGTAGGGCTGTCCCTAGTGTCTCAAAGTGTGGCTCATGATAGATAGAGCACCTAAAACATGCACATCCATCTTTAAAACATACAACTGACCGGGTTTTATTAACTAACAGGGTTATTCATTAAAGTGAAAATTTCAAATTAAAGGCCAAATTTGCAGAAGTGGAAAAATTCTCTAAGTCAGCTATGCTTTCAGTTCAGCTACTCTGGCCTTAAAAGGACACCATAGGCACCAAGACCACTTCAGCTTATTGAAGGAGTCTGGGTGCAGTGCCCCGTCCCACTTAGTCCTGCAATGTAAAACATAATGGCTGTCTACCAGATTTTACCGGACTGAAGGTCGCCTAAAAAAATCCCCATAGGAAAGCATTGGCTTCCTAAGGAGAGGGCTTGATGCGCTTGTCGTACATTCATGCTCGGCCCCCCATCGGAAGATGTCGGAGGAGGCGGAGTGCAGAGTAATATCGGCGATGGAGGGTAAGTAAACAAAGGGTTATTTAACCCTTTACATGCCAGTGAGGATGGCAGGGACCAGAGAGGGCTCTATAGTGCCGGGAATACATTTTTATATTCCTAACACTATCTAAAAATCGAATTAATAGATTTAGTCTAAGAGAAATGTATTTACTTACTAAACTCAAACTTACTGAACTAGTAGCAAATAGGTTTTAAAATGCCAAATTTTAGTCTAAAACAGCAGATTTGTAAGGATTCTCCAAATCTGATACAGTCACAGCTTGGCCTTTCCCTTAATTGTGCCATCCATATTTCACTATAAGTCAGAAACGATTGAATAACTTCCAAAATCTACATCATAGGACTAATACAGCTATTCAGGAAGCAGCAATGCCAGTTATAGGGCAATGGTAAGTAAATGTCAGTTCTCCAGGTGTTGTTAACTACATCTCCCATAATGCTCCTACTGCCATATTGCTGGCAAAGCATCATGGGAAATGTAGTCCAACACCTGGAGTGCTGACATGTTGCCTAGCCCTGTTATAGCGTCTCCCAGCTGTATGTATGGTGTGAATACTGGTTCCCCAGGCACAGCCCAAGCCTGCATCCTTCCCCCACGCTGTCTCTGCTAGTACCCATTAACCCACATTTACACGACTTTAACCCCTGTTAGCCACGCCCCAACTGGCCAGAGGGCGAGCGACGTCACCACGATCCTGGATCCTGCTGGAAAAAAAAGAATAGGGCGTGGTCACGTGACGAAGGCTTTCGAACCAATCGGAGTCGTCCACATGCCGCGAGCTTGAGGCTGGGGCAGCCTGGTCATAAAATGCTATAGCGGCTGAGTTCGCCGCCACTAGGAGCGGGAGCTGCGCACAGAGCGAGTCTGCCCCCTTACACCGCGGACACCGAGCAGGCCCCGAGCCGGCCTCTGACAGGAAACCGCCATTACCACCGCACTGCATACCGCCCGTAACGACCTGCCCCGGCTCTCCCCGCTCGGTCTCTGATGCAGGCAGCCCGGCATCCCTGAGCCCCAGCCCGCCGCACCGACCCAGAGCAGGAGAACCGAGCCGGCTGTCAGAGCCCGCCATCAGAGCCCGCGGTGTGACCCCCGGCAGGAGCCGGCACTGTATGGGAAGCGGCCCGTGCTGAGCTGCGGAGTGTGATCGGACCCCGTACCGTACCGTGTCTGTCGGAGGTCCCGGGGGGGAGAGCGGCTGCGGCCATGGAGAACGCGCACACCAAGACGGTGGAGGAGGTGCTGGCTCACTTCAACGTGAACGAGAGCACGGGGCTCGGCCTGGAGCAGGTCAAAAAACAGAAGGAGAGATGGGGCCCCAACGGTACGTGCTGGGGGAGGCGGGGGGCTTTCATAACATCTCACAGAGAGTGGAGGGGGGGGAGGGCAATTACTGGGCGAGCTGGGGCCCCCCATGGTATCTCACAGGGAGGGGGGGCAATTACTGGGCGAGCTGGGGGCCCCCATGGTATCTCACAGGGAGGGGGGGCAATTACTGGGCGAGCTGGGGGCCCCCATGGTATCTCACAGGGAGGGGGGGCAATTACTGGGCGAGCTGGGGCCCCCCATGGTATCTCACAGGGAGGGGGGGCAATTACTGGGCGAGCTGGGGGCCCCCATGGTATCTCACAGGGAGGGGGGGGCAATTACTGGGCGAGCTGGGGGCCCCCATGGTATCTCACAGGGAGGGGGGGCAATTACTGGGCGAGCTGGGGGCCCCCATGGTATCTCACAGGGCAGTGGGGGCTGAGGAAACCAATTTGGGGCCCCCCTGGCATATTCTCTTTGTCTGCATGTGATCATATCGATGAGAGACTACAGCTCCCATCATGCTGTGTCAGCCCGGGGGGAGGGCTATGACAGCAGAGCTATGAGTCCTCCCTCCGCAGGGTGACTCACTGACCGGCACATTGCAGCATTCAGGCTGAAAGCGCAATCTGGAACCTGCTCTGGCTCAGCTATTTTGGCCTGAAATGTGCAATTCCTTCATACATTAGCGGGGATTCCAGTTTAATGACTGAGCCTGCCTGTCTGTGTGTCTGTCACTGTATAGCTGGTTACAGTGTGAGCTACATTAATATCCTCCTTATAGATTGATTCTTGGCAGCCTGCCAGCTATGGATGTAGAAAATCTATCTAAGGACTTATTATATAGCGCATAGCCCAATGATGCCGAAAAGACAAGGACCCTAAGGCTTTTAGTCTTTAATGTAATGCACTTGTAGGATCCCCTAAGACCTTCTTGTAAAGGTCATAATCGGTCACTTCCATTATATTGTATGGAATACTAAGACCAATAATGTTTACAATCTTTAAAACTAAATGAGAATTATTTTTTCCCAAAGATGTCACCCCGACCTTAAAATGAGAATTTCTCCATCTGCCAATATTGGTTGTATATTTGTTCATTACTTTGTATAAGATGGTTTGGCTGTGCAGTGTGAGCTGTCCTATAAACCTGCTGTGGATGCTCCTTTTCAATAACCTGTTCTGGAGTGTTCTATTGCCACATGAATAAAGAAGACCTTGTACCACTTCCTGTAAGGCCTATCCCTTGTCTAGCCGGCATCTCCATGATACTAGGATTAGAGAAGATGGCTGCCTGGATGAAACCTCGTGTTTTTTTTTTTTTTATGCAATAACCGGTCTCTCCACTTCCTTGACATCTGCCTTTGATATTGATTTTAATCTTGAGTGTTTATTTTAAATCCCTTAATCAGCCTCACCCCATATGCAAGATTCTTACTGCAGTCGGTTATATTAAGTTCTTTTTTTAATCTGAGGTAGGGAAGCTGCATATAAGCAAATGTGTAAACTAGTCAGTTTGTGCCAGGATATTTTCTGTTTTAAGAACATTTGGTTATGTATAAGCACTTGCAGATACAGTATAGTAAAGAATTTGTTTCCTATATTAAATATGAAACCTAAACCATTTGATTATCAGTATCCAATAAATACTGCATAGACAAAAACTTGACCTTCTACTATATTATTGGACATAGCAGCTAATTTGGTCATTTCTTTATCGGTGTATAGTCGATTAAATGTGCTTATAATTTGGTGCATCTTGGTATCTGTATAGAGAAATCCTACTAGAATGTACCTGCTTAGAATGATGACTTGGCATAAAACAGTGCTCCTTCTTGTTTCACTTGTCCCACATGCAAGTGTGCTGTCTGTGGCATATTGTTTGGCCTCAATGACTCTCTAGGTATATGTAGCTTGTGTAGCTATTCCCATTTTTAATGGTTTTAAAAAATTTTTTTCCTTTTCTTCCCTATTCTGCTTACAGAACTACCCGCAGAGGAAGGTAAGAAATTATCTCAATGACCAGACTATGTAAGTCCATTTGATTTGAACTTTGCCTTGACAAATGTCTCTTCTCCAGGTAAAACGTTATGGGAGTTGGTGATTGAACAATTTGAAGATTTATTAGTTAGAATTTTGCTTCTTGCTGCTTGTATATCATTTGTAAGTATTCTAGCGTTTCCTAATACTAATGTACTTTAATATAAAGAGTTAATATGCTTAAGATAATAGATTTAAGTAGTGCCTTTTTTTTCTGGGCATTTCTTTGCCTCCAAAATCTGAATTAATAAAATGCTTTTAAAAAAGGTCTCTTTACATGACTGCCAAGTGTGTCTTAATGCAAAAGTATTTTTGTATTTTTTTCCCCCTTCATACAGCTAAAGCCCAGTTCTGCAATCTCAGAGCAACTTTTTTTTTTTTTTTGTTGTTTTTTTTTAATCTTGGCTTAATCTAAATTAAAAGCAATTTCTCTGCTCAGACTTGAATATACCATGTCACTTGGGTTTTGTTATGGGAAGCATAGTTGTTTTTTGACTTTTTTTATTTATTTTTGTAAATTATTGAAATATTATTGCAGTCAGAATTATGGCATTGATAATTTTTTGCCCCTGGTAAACCATATTAACTTGAATATCTCTGTAACATCTCATTTCAATAACTGTTTATCTTTTTGTTAAATTAACGAAAAAAATTCAAAAAAACCCCCAAAAAGGTGTGAGATTTTTACATATATCATAAACGGTTTCTATCATTTAAGACTTTTTATAGCACCGGCAGTGCTTTACAATTATAGAAAGATCAGATAATAGAGGTGAATGACTGTTCAAACAGACTTACAATCTGAGACTTTGAGGTATGTAGATATATATCTTTTGGATGTCTTGCCTAGGGACACTTACTGGTAAGGTGGTCTGACTTGGTTTGAAACCTAGGTTGACCAGTTCAAAGGCAGTGACACTGTCACTGCTCTAACCAGCGGGATACACACTAGTAAGTTTGGCTCAAATTGCTACATAACAAAAAACCTGTTTTGGGGGTTTAACTACTTTATTTCACAAACTGAATATACAGTGCCTTACAAAACATTGCTTTCTTGTAATGTTTTTCCCTAATTTTCTGAGGACTTGTAGAAGCCTAATGGTGCAAAAACAGCAGCTTTTAATTTATGTACCATATTGCATTAAAATCCTGAACAGCCTAAATGTCATATTTAAATCTAGGCAATAATGCTTTATAAAAAAAAAAATGTGCGCTCACACACAAGTTAAGTTAAATATGACAGTCTTTCACAATCTCACATTCTCACTATGAGGTGAAAGTTCAACCTGCTTTTTATTGAGAGAACATTCTAGGGAATGGTGACCTGCTAAGTTTTATCAATCCTAGATATAAGAAACCTTTAAGAACTAATGCTAAATCTAACTTGTTTTGCAGTGTTTAAAAGCTGCAGCTGAAAGATATGCAACTCCCCTCCTCTCCGCAGATCCTAGTTGCTATTAAATGGTTTACTATTTGGATTTCCTTTTTTAATTTGGGGCTAGTTTCAAACATGTATCTATTATATGCGTGAATATTCTGTCTTTGCAAAAAGGCGTCCAAGTTTATTTATTTTAGATTTATCTATATGATCTTACCACAATCCCTCTGTAGGCTGAGAATTCCACATCTAAAGAAAACAAATGCAGTTTTTTAGCCTTTCCTCATAACTGTTTTCCATCCCTCTATTACTTTTGTAGCCCGCCTCTTCACTTTATCTAGTTTTGCAATATGCTTCATTAAAACTGTAGCTTAAAATTGCACTGAATATTCAATGTTAAGTCTTACTATTGATTTATAAATAGGCAAAATTATATTTGGATCATGTGATTCAAAACCCCTTTTTATACACTATATATTGTTGCCTAGTTTGTGATCTATAATTGTTCCCAAGTCCTTTACATTATAGTTGTCCCTAAGCCTTCTCCATTTAACATGCTTATGGGTTCCTTATTACAAAATGCATGACTTTGGGTTCCCAATTTATACAAATTCATTTGTAGAGAGAAGTTGTATCACTTTCAGACTATAATCTTACTTAATTTTTGTGTCATCTGTAATGACACATGGTGAACAATGTCCACTTCAAAATAACCTAGAATTAGATTAGTTTCATGTCATTTTAACTCCTTAAGGACACAACTTCAGAAATAAAAGGGAATCATGACGGAATTTTTCTGTCATGTGTCCTTAAGGGGTTAATTGATATTATTGGATATTAATTCAAGACCGCAAGGCTTCTGAACACTACACCATTTGCTTACTATCCTGAATATTGATCATTTGTCTATATACATTTTATAGTTAAGTTACTAAAGTAGATTAAACAGTTGAATTTTTATCTTGGCTAAAAGAATAATGAATTCAGACTTTTCCCAATATGTTACACTTGTTGGATATTTTGTTCAAATCCCAACAAAAACCTATGCAAGTTAATATGTAAAGCACTTGGCAGTGGAGTTGAAAATTTTGAGCATGCATCATCATGACTTGTTAATTTTATTCTTGTATGTAAAATAGTTTTTACTTTTTGACATCTGAAAAAACATGATAAACTCTAGTTTACATAATAATCCTTGATGGAAAGAAATTATTTGTAATGGTAATTATGTTTATGAAGAAAATCTTCATGGTTTTTATTTAGCTTGCTTTAATATGGTGTTCCAAAAGCACACCTGAGAGATGCAGATAGACCACCCCCTATTTTCTGTGACAGGAAGTTGGCATTAAAACCGTAAACGATAAAAACCTATTCATCCAGGTTATCACTGTCGAGACATCTGGATAATATGGCGGTCTGAAAGGCCTGCAGAGACATGACGCTCAAAACGTTTGTCTGAAGAACTTGGCAAAGTCAATCTGCCCATAATAAACTAATAAAATGCATTACAGATTAAATAATTTCGAATTTTTGGGGTTGGAGCCCCATACTAAGATGCAGTTGGATAAATATAACTTCTGCTTGCTCTCCTGCTTAAAGCTTTGTCTGAGATTTAGTTTAACATGTAAATTTCTGAATTGGTCTGATCTATGATTGGCAGCCTATTGAAGATGTTGTGGTGCAGACGCTCCGCTTTAAGGCTATTTTAGTTAAATCTTAATCTCTGTGTAGTTGCAAAGAACAAGGTGCATACTCACAAAATAGTCATATTTATCACAAATGTTTAGTAAGACTACAAGAGTCCCATGCAAGAGTAGACAAAACAAAGGTTTTATTCAGAAAGACTTGGTTACCATTGGCTACCTCTCATTCATTGAACTGTATAAAATCACAGACAGACAACTCAAGACTCTAAATGTATATTATCATTTATATATCGCCAGCATATTCTGCTGTGCCTTACAATTCTAAAATAGGGACATTTGGCAAGTAACTTACATAAATGGATTATAACAGGCAAGCAGTGAAGAATGCTCTGCTCAAACAAGCTTACAGTCTATGATGGTCTGAATCAGTACATCTGGGTTCAGAATGACGTGTCTGCTCCTCAGGACAGAAGGTCTGAAAGACCCCCCCTCCCCTCACAAAACCGTGAATCAATCAGCAGGTTCAATAAAACTAAACAAACTATTTTGATATTAATGACACAAGGTTGAGTTTGTCTTGGTTAGAGGCTACATCAGATAGTAAAAACAAAGAATAAGTAGGCTGGTATCTTTCAAAGCTAATCGCTATTTAAAATCACTATTTGCTGTTGTCTCCAGATCTGTTTGTTTGGCTGTGCTTGAATTTGATATACACAAAAGCAACACGATTCTTAAATGTGCCTGATGATCTTTGGAGAGCAGCAGACTTGTGTGATTTATTTATTTTTACCAATGGAATCCTTAAAGGAGCACTATACACTTTAGCTTTCTTTATGTGTAGGGTTTTTTCATATTTCCAGAAGTGCGGATTTCAGTAGAATTTGGCATGTTTATAAATTAACTCTGGCACATCGCATAGCTATCAAACATGCAGCCCTGCTCCTGGGTGTTTTGCTCAGTAGCGCTAAGCCTGCAGCAATTTTAGATTATGCTGTCATTTAACCTTTCTTCACGAATAATCAAAGTAAAATATTCAAACCTCTAATATATGAAACCCATGTAGAGCTAAAGGCCCGCAGACTCGATAAAGAAGAATATACCAATCTTCATGCCTGTTCCCCCTCCCCACCCGACATTAAAACACATATCACCCAATTTCTTTTTATAGGGGTAATTTTTTTTACTATTTGACCAGTGTAATCCTTGTCAATTAAAAAATCTTACTGCATTAGTGACGATCTCCAAATAAATCCAATGCTTCTCTCTGTGAAATTACTTCATCTGTTAAGCACATCTCAGAGTGAGTGTGACAGAACCCCCAACGAATTGCTTGACATTTAGGGGATCTTACCAAGGGGTAAAAAAAAATAAATTCTCTTTTGAATCACACTTCTCTAAATTTAAGGCTGGGTTACTTGATGGTAACCCCTAAAAAAAAATCAAACTGAAGTTTTGAGTTAAAACTTCTTTTAAATGCATCATACATGAGGTTTTTAAAAATGTATTTTACTCGAAGTCAGGTAGGGCTATATTATAAAGTGTTAGTTTCAGTTGTAATATACAGATTTGTATTTATATATTTTTCCTTTTTTTCTTTTTTCTTTTCAGGTATTGGCATGGTTTGAAGAAGGGGAAGAAACAATTACAGCTTTTGTAGAACCTTTTGTAATTTTACTTATATTGGTAGCAAATGCCATTGTGGGTGTTTGGCAGGTAAGCAACTATTTTGTGATGAAACAAAGCATATTCTAGTAACTTTCCAATACCTATATTGGAAGCGGTATGGTAGCTGACTTGTTTTTGTTGACCATAGTAAATTATAAATATGTATATGCAAATACTGGTGTTAATCTAATATTGAAGTAGTTTTAAAAAACATAGTTTGAAAGTTGGTTAGTCTTCAAATCTCCACTTGTGTTGCAACATCCTGTTGCATAATGTGTTTAGTGTTTCCCTTTTTAACTTTCATTACAGCTGGCTATAAAATTTTACCAACTTGTCGCGAATCAAAATTACAGCAGATTTTTTTTTTTTTTTTTTTATAGCGAGTAAATGTAGTTGCTGGTGTAATCCCTCCTTTTTTTTTTTTTTTGTATGGACAATACATATTTTACATACATACATTCAAATATAGAGCAGTGACTTGACTGTCTTTGACGTCTCAGCCAGTTCAGGCCTTACCACCAATTTCTTTTGGTGTACTGTTCTATCCCACAAATTTATACCAAGTAATGTGGATAAGGATTCTTGCGCTGCTTGTCAATCACAAGGGGAAAAGGAATAGAAAGCTTCTGTCTAAAAGTCCTCTGTTTGATATACACATTGGTGTACATGGTCCCAATTAGATCCTATGGGAGGGAAGTACTTCCCAGGTAACCCATAGATGAGACCATAGCATTCGTGTAATGTCCATTTTTTATTTTTCTTCTCACTTTACCTTTTGTCAAAATGTGTCAATTCTGTGACATTTTATTTATAACTCTCAGGAGCGAAATGCTGAAAATGCTATTGAAGCACTTAAGGAATATGAACCTGAAATGGGCAAAGTCTACCGACAAGACAGAAAAAGTGTACAAAGGATTAAAGCCAGAGATCTTGTGCCTGGAGATATTGTTGAAGTTGCTGGTAAGAGACTTGATAGTTGGTACATTTGTGCTCTTCCATTCTGGAGTTCTTGTTTATTTTGGAAAAGTATGTAATGTACAGTGAGTTTCAGAACTATGGCATATGCCTCTACTTTATATAGAAAACATGCTTGATAAATAGTGCCCTTCTTGGCTGTTTAGCTGAGGCATCCCAACCTCCCAGATATTGCTGAACAACAACCCCAATGATTCTCTGCCCATCTTTTGGATTTAAAGAATTACAGAGGTTGTAGATCATAATCATCTGGGGGCCAGAGTTTAAGATCCCTGGTCTTGCTTGCTTGTCTGCCAAAAGAAGCACTACTAAACTCCACAGTATTAACCAGTATTTTATATATTTAGTTGCTCATTTTATTTTGATGTCTGGTAAAATGTAAATTGTTTTACTCTGATACATACTGTGCCATTGGAATTGCCTCTGTTATGGCCCTTAAAATACAGGAAAAATAAGGAGCAGACCTACTAGGATATGCTGTGTGTACAAAATGCTGCCTTTGTAGACATAGAAAGGTACAGCAAACTTTTCAGTGTTCATGTTATGGCCCTCACACAGGGTGAGGTAACTATTTAAACCTCATTTTCAGGCTCTCATTTATGGGAAGGTTCAGAGTATTGGTACATCTGTATTACGTCTGTTATGTTGAGGTATAAAAATGCATATAATACCCTTTTTTTGTGTTTTTGTAATACCACATTTAGTAATGTAATTTGTTTCACTATGCAGTTAAGCTATTGGGAAAACAATACTTTACTTTGACCTCTATCCATAGGGTATGTCTGGATAACATTGTATGTTGCAATTTTTAAATAGGTGCATAACGCCACCTACTGTGAGTAGCACTTATTTCAAGTGAACAAACTACTCCTATACATATACCCAAAAGAATACAAGGCTAACTTCCAAATTATCTGTCTGCAGTTGCATATTGCAGTAGTTATCAATGATATTATAACTTGCTGTATGATTACTATGCTGCATTGTTTTGTATGTTAGAGATTCAAGGTTGCATTGAATTGAGCATATGCTGTTAACTTATTTCTGCACGCTTTGCATATTACGTGTCTGTTAATAGATGTACAGTTCTTTCTATGGTTGAGACCAGGGATTGGCTGAGATATTTGTCCTGTTTCCTGGTTAAAGCTGCCATTACCTGAGCCAAGTCATAATGCTGCAGGAGCAACAACTGCTTAGGTAGATTGGGGTTATTAAGCATTATAAACGAAGAAGCTATTTCATTAAATGTGCTTGAAAAAGCACAGAATGTATAAAAGCAGTCTGATGTTAAATCTTTAACCCCTTAAGAACAAAACTTCTGGAATAAAAGGGAATCATGACATGTCACACATGTCATGTGTCCTTAAGGGGTTAAAGAAATAACAGTGCAAATTTATTGAGTGCCTGCAATATTTATAACCTGGTGTTAATGTGACTGGAACCATTGCTGTTACCTTTATGTTTAGTATAGTATGTACTTTGCCATAGAATGTGTAGAGAGATGTCCATGTAGGGGAATGGAAGAGTACCTCACACACGGATGCATATCTCAAAATGAAATTCTAGGCCTCATGCCAATGACATTTGTATGTCCAAGCCAATTTGTCTTCAGTGACAGTGGTGAAAATGACTGACTGTCAAACCCGTTAATGGCATCTCTAAAGTCCTTTGTCGGATTTTTGTTTGTTGGTTTGTAATGTTTATATTAACTCTTTGGATATTTCATCTCGTATTTTCATCTAGTTTCCAAGCAAATGTTGTTTCTCACCCCATTCTGCCCAAATTTTAATGTTGTCCAAATTAGATTGCATAGATTTAGCCTTTTAGACTTCATCTGTTGCAAAAATAATAGAAAAGGTTGAAAGGAAGAACAAGTAGTATATTTTAAAACCTTTGCTTAGTCATACTTATAGTCAAATTGATTTATTAGCCTTGATTAACCTATAGGAATCCCAATTTTAATGTAGCTTATTCAACCCATTTGTAAGGAGTGTATGCAACCTACTACAACCCTGAAGCAGTGTGTTTGTGGTACAATATGAGGTGGCTTGATGGGCCCTGGAAACCACTGATCTAGATAACTGTAATGGTTAGAGTGCTGTTTGCAATAAAACACTTTTGATCAGCTGTAAATACTGTGTTTTTAGGACATTACAGCGAAAGCCTCCTAGTTCATTAAAAATGTTTCCTCAAAATGAGTTTGTCGTACTTTGTCTAATAAAGGCTTGGGTAAAGAAGAAAACCCATAATTGGCTTCTGCAGTTAAATGATATCCAAAAATGGCAATTATTTCTGTATAGCTACATAGTTGGCATCCCAATTTCCTCTCATGTCAGATGAGATCAACATATCACTTTTCTTATTTTACATTTAATTCAAGTAAAGAATTTCGACTATGGTTTGTAAGCTAGAAATGTAGTTAGACTGTGTCATTAATGCAGGACTATTAATTCAATTTCCATATACTTATTTGTTCCTGTCAATATTTTCCTACATAGTGATGGTTGGAATGTGAAATTTGTATGTTTGTGTCAACTCTGTGATCCCATATAGCAGTTTATCATAAAACAGCCATCATCACCCACATATAGTCCCCTAGTTGGTTCAGGAGCTCTGTATTGGTTAATCTTTTTTTTTTTTTTTTTTATTATTATTATAAACTAAATGGTCTGTTATTAGGAGCACATTTGTGTCTATTCTAAAAAGTCTATGCTCATTGATATTAGTGGATGGTCTGGCAGCTGAGGTACTTTCTTGGTGACTTACTGTTTACAGTAGAATTGGCATTTCATTATATGCAGAGATTAAAGTTGTGTGCTTTTGTAGCAATATTCAAATTTAATATATGATGGAGTTAATACCAACACATGCCCACTCGGCAATTTAGTTACTATGCCTCACTTTTGATTTTGTGAGAAGTGTAAGCCTTTGTAATTTAATTCACCTCTTTTTTCAAATGTCTTGCTGTACTAATGGATATGGTGGAGAATATTGCTGTTTTGACCTCAATACCTTCTGTCATCTGAACCTCGCCCCTTGATATAATTAAAAATTTTACTCCAAAGTGTAGAAAGCTATTGGTGCTGGTTACTTAGCCTGTCATTGCCATCCAAGCCTCTCCATTATCTTGGTGACACTGTGGGGGCCGGGAGTTTGGTTCCAGGAGAGCCCTGTAGTTTGTTTTTTGGGGGGGTAGTAAACTAAATCATAGTGGTTATGATGCATGGTGTACCTTTTTAATGTGCAGTTCTGTGTATCCCTCTTCTAACAAACTAATTTTGCCAACTTGCAATTGGTAGCTTACAGTATTGATGATCAATAATATTATTGCATAAAGCTCTGCAGAATGCATGCTTATGAGTGCATATATTACTGTAGACTGCATGTGATGACATTTTCTCGTATGGCATTATGGCTTTGAGAATGGGAAATAGGGTTACTAAAGTAGAAATATCTTTGGCGCTTTTTTTCGCCCTTGTCCCTGGTATCGGGGATTTGGACAGCAATCAAAGGGAAATTATGTTACAAATGGAGTCAACGTTTTAGATGGAGATCCAATATTTATTGTTGCTATGATCATGATACACAGTGTGTGTGAGATAACTGTATGGACCAGCTGCTATCTTTCATCTCCATGCAAACCAGCTTGTGGCACCAGGAGTGCAGAAAATAGTTTTCCCATTTTTGGCCTTGTTCTTTGTTCAGCGATGCCTCTTACTGTTAAAGGGCATCTTTGACTGCTATTAATTTTGATGGAGGGAAATTGTACAAAATGGTAAAATAGTCTATTGCATGGAAGCAATCCAAGTTAAATAAAACAAACTACCAGTTACAGTCTGAACGTGAGCTTCTAACAGGCTATTGCCTCTAGTTGCATAAGCAGTCCCACTAGGGATGTAATGCACATGTGGGTTCACACAGTAGAAAGCTCCCAGTTTACATTTGTGACTTGTACATTAAAATACAGATCAACCAATTCTAGTTTTTCGAGAGCCAATTCTGATAAAGATTATTGGTTTCCTTTTGGGCCGATTGTCGATAACGGATACCGATATTCTATACATTTTAAAGTGTTTTTGTTTTTTTTTTTTGTTTTTTTTTTTTTAAAGACCAGACAATTTCTACACAAATCTAGTATTAACTGAATATGCTGTCGGCAATCACGCTCAAATCACTCTGTATGTCAGCCCAGTACATTTCAGTATTCACAGGGAGAAATAAAGTGAGGTTGTGACATGGCACCTCTTTGGCTGACCACTAGAATTTTCGGGTGCGGAACACTGGGAAAGCAAATCATTGGTAAATACAATTCATTGATTCAATTCCTCTCTATGAGGAGATGCTGATTGGCCAGGGCTGTGTTTTGAATCATGCTGGCTCTGCCCCTGGTCTGCCTCCTTGTCAGTCTCCGCAAATCCTATGGGGAAGCATTGATTGGATCAGGCTACCACTTCTGATGTCAGCAGACAGCTTGTTTTTTCTGAGACAAACAGCATGCAGATCTACATCTTCAGGCTTGAATGCTGTAAGATTTTTGATAGATATATAGATATTATTTATGGAGGCATGAGGAGCCAAAGGGGGCTAGATGGTGGTTTTAACACTATAGGGTCAGGAATACACGTTTGTGTTCCTGACCCTCTAGTGATCCTTTAATTTACATGCTCGGCCATGACTTCTCTCATAAGAATTTCCCAATAGGAAAGCATTATTCAATGCTTTCCTGTGGTGTTTTGGGTGATGCTGGATGTCCTCATGCATAGTCGCCTAACCACCTGGAAGTCCCTCTTGTGGCTGTCTGGTAGACAGCCACTAGAGGTGAAGTTAACCCTAGAAAGTAATTGCAGTTTTCAATAATTACCTGATCAGGGTTAAGGGACTTAATGAGCTGAAGTGGTCTGGGTCTCTTTAAGCCAATGTCACAGAGGGCGTATGACAGTGAAAGATTTATAATGTAAGAAGTAAGTTATAATGTGAAAAACATAAACATCAAATCTTTTTATTTATTTGTATATAATTCTAGGAAGAGCACAACTGAAAATGGGTAGTAAGTAGTGTGGTATTAAAAGTACCGTGTGCTCTTTTTACCTCTTAAGGACCAAACTTCTGGAATAAAAGGGAATCGTGACATGTCACACGTGTCATGTGTCTTTAAGGGGTTAAGGAACAAAATCCGCTCCCATACCGGATATATACAAATAATAGAAATAATAATGATCCCAAGGCACACCAAGGTTTTGCACGTAAGAAAAGTGTTTATTCATGCATAAAGAGTACATCAAAATATCCTGACAAAGTGCATAACCAGTTAATAGTACCAAAACCACAATAATAATAATAATAAAGTGCTAAATGCAAACACCCATTAAAAATGTATACTGACCATGAGCAGGAGAAATAAGTTTCGGCTATAAAGCATACCTCTGGGGGACCTCTCAGAGGAAGGCTTCATTGCCGAAACGTTTTGGGTTTTCATTTCTCCTGCTCGTGGTCAGTATACCTTTTTAATGGGTGTTTGCATTTAGCACTTTATTATTATTTATTGTGGTTTTGGTACTATTGGTTATGCACTTTCTTTCTGTCAGGATATTTTGATGTACTCTTTTTATGCATGAATAAACGCTTTTCTTATGTGCAAAACCTTGCCTTGGGATCATTATTATTTCTATTTAATTGTATGTAATAAACAACAATGTGATTACAGCACAAGAAAGTGTAATTGAACAGAACTGAAACCCTTTTTTTCTATTGTCTTGTGTGTAAAAAAATAAAAATAAATATATTAGTTTAGAGCTGTGAACAAAAATTCTAAACTTAGTCCCTTTTTAAAAAAACTTGCATTAAAATGTATTCTTACCACTTTTTTTTTTCCCTCCATTTCTAGTTGGTGACAAAGTACCAGCTGACATACGCCTTACATCTATCAAATCCACAACTTTAAGAGTCGACCAGTCTATTCTCACAGGTATGTGTTTTATTTATTTTAAATTTGTTTTAGTTGTCCCGTGTGATAGTTGATTTCAGAATTTGTAGGTAAGGGGTTAAATCTGCATTTAATCTATTCCACTTACATACAGTTTATGCCGTTGGTTTAAAAATGCCCTTGAATAGCTATCCTTGGACTGTCGCAAGTGATGGGTTTCATCTTTCTATTAATGCTGTTTGTCCATATTCAAATCTGTTAAAAAGGCCAGTACCTCTCAAATTTTGCAAAGCCTTGTGTTGGTGCCGTGAGTGTTCCTACGCTGTCCATTTAACTTAAAAGAACAGAAATGTTAACATTGTTAAGGTTTGGGGAAAAAAATAATTCCAAAGCACTCTACAACTGCTGGGAGATGATTTAATGTGTAAACATAAAACAAAAATTGTCCTCTGCTTCCGCCTTTGTTTTAGGATTAAAAAGAGAGAGAGAGAGAGATATCTCTTCTGCCCCATCTTTCATTTTTTCTAATTCCCGCAAACTGCTAGAAGCATTTGTGGACTATTTAAAACTGGCAATATTTATATGTTGGGCATTTAATTATTTTTCTCAAACCAATGTATCTCAAAAGTTGGACAATGTGGATCTGTTTAAATTCCACATGCTACAATGATTTTTGAATACTCCATCACAGGGTCAAACGAATTTCTTTTTGTGGTTTAGCATTTTAAATTACAACACTTGCTAATCTTGCTAGTAAAAAAGAGGAGCTACTTTTAGAATTTTAAAACTCCATACTGCTATAAAACCAGTAAAAAGTAATTGTAAATCAGAACTGATGGAACACTATTCTATATAAAAATGAGTGGGGGGGAAAGTGGACGTTCCTTCTAATTTTTGTATTTTTTCACAATATTGTAAGCAAACTGTTTACATCTGCCTTTTTCCCCCCACTCCATAGGAGAGTCTGTATCTGTTATTAAACACACTGACCCAGTCCCCGATCCTCGTGCAGTGAATCAAGATAAAAAGAACATGCTATTTTCTGTAAGTACATATAGGTTTTTACTGGATGTACCTTTGAACTTTATTATATACATTTTTTCTGGTATTTGTGTATAGAAAGTTTTTTTTGTTTTTTGTTTTTGTGTGTGTGCGTTTTTAACAATGCCTTTTAGGGCATATGTGACCCCTGTGTATTCCTGCTGGATATGGGAGGCGACCGCATGAACTTTATTGAGGACAGTGTATATAACTTCTGTTGCAGACCTCAAACATTACTAAGGGTACCTGCAGAAATCTAAAACACAAAGCCTCTGTGCTTATTTGCATGTCAAGCTGGGAAATTTATGGAAATATGATTTATAGAGTTTTTGTGCCGAAGTGTGACTTTCCAAAGTCCATCTTGATATATGAAGGTGATACAGAGCAGTAATTTCTATATATAGTTTTGATTTATGTAAAATTTCTCTTTTGACTGGTTTCTGCCAAATTTGAAGGGTTGGATTATTGCAGCACATGATTTATTATTTGCCTCCTATCTAACATTACCATTACCTGCCAGTCAGACAGGACCTTGGCTGTTAAACCGCGATCTGTGTGTACAATTCGGATCAAAGCTCTGTCCTGTAAATCTGTCAAATTCAAACTACCCTGCCTGTTGTTTTGCAGGCTCTTCCTGTCTTTAGGCACAGTAAAGAGCCAGGTAGTTACTGGGGCCATCCTGCAGGCTTTTATAGTGTTTTATGATTGTTCATTGGCTATATTAATTAACACAGCCATTAAGAAAATATATTGAGTTTTTTTTCATTGAAGAAGCTGGTTATGGGGCAGGAGATGTACTGTATCTTTCATCATAAAAATGGTGCCTGTAAGAAATAATTTGTATCTATTTTTCATTTGTCATTCTTTATATCTTAACCCTATGAGTGCCAAACGTAGACGTGCCTGATTTGCAGAGTTAAATGTTTGTAAACATGTTCTCTTCTTTGAAAGATCTTAATAGGTGGCAAATGTATCATTACGGGTTTTTGCTAACCATCTTAAAATATGAATATAAATGGTATAAAGTGACAGTGCTACATAAAACATTTTATCTATTAATAGAACGTGTGTGTCTGTGTGTATTTAAAATATATATATTTTTCCTTTATAGGGTACAAACATTTCTGCTGGCAAAGCTATTGGTGTGGTAGTAGCTACGGGAGTAAACACAGAAATTGGAAAAATCCGTGATGAAATGGTAGCAACAGAGCAAGAGCGGACCCCTCTGCAGCAGAAACTTGACGAGTTTGGCGAGCAACTTTCAAAAGTTATCTCTTTGATTTGTATTGCTGTTTGGATCATCAATATTGGACACTTCAATGACCCTGTCCATGGAGGTTCTTGGATGCGAGGGGCTATTTATTATTTTAAAATTGCAGTTGCCCTTGCAGTTGCAGCTATCCCAGAAGGTTTGCCTGCTGTCATCACCACTTGTTTGGCTTTGGGAACCAGGAGAATGGCAAAGAAGAATGCAATTGTTAGGAGCTTGCCATCAGTTGAAACACTAGGCTGTACATCTGTGATCTGCTCTGATAAGACTGGTACTCTTACTACAAATCAGATGTCTGTGTGTAGGGTAAGATCTTTTTAATTGCTATACTTTCCACTTCTCACCTGGGTAATCTTAACGAAGTGTGCTGCTTGAAGCTGCTCCATTGATTTCACAAACACAAGCTTAAATATACATATCAATACATTATTTCAGCTCAACTTTGTTATATTTCAGATTATAACGGTTCGTTATGTACAGATGCTGTAATGAATGATTGGATTGGCTTGCAATGGCTTGTAAACCTTTTAATCTTGTGGTATTTCTGTCTAGACACCAAATTGTCATCCCTAAAATATAATTCAGATCCTATCATAAAGATATGTAATCTTTATGAAATGCTCATAAAGACTGAAATACCAATGTAGTAATAAGGGTATCTTAAAACAATGTGGGGACTACGTGCCCATACTTGACAAAAGGTGGAGTTGCCGTCGTCAAGTTTTCTCCCTTCCCACTGCTGTCGATAAAATGTATTTTTTATGTAAATTATCGAAATACAACACTGTCTCTGGTTAAAGTAGCTCTGTCATCTGTACCTGTCTCCTTCAGCTCCTGGTGCATCAGCGGCCAGGAGCCCATGTCCGCATTATACACTTGCACATGCATGATCTTTATGAAATACTAATTTTGAAGGAGAGGATGACATGCTGCTTTAAGGACTTTGTCTTATTTACATTCCCTACAGATTTTCCTAAATGCACCCGGTTATTGCTTAAAGGAAAACTATAGTGTTAGGAATACAAACACTATTGTGCTCTCTAGTTGTCATCTTCATTATACAGCCTCATGCTAGGCTAAAAATCTATATTTAATGCTGCATAACCATTGGACTGTAATGTCTAAAATTTTATTTTTTAAAATAAATACCATTAAATTAAAGGAACACTATAGGGTCAGGAACATAAACCTGTATAGTGTTAAAACCACAATATATCCCTTGCACGCCTAAATATAGTAAAATTGTACTTTTATTCCAGTCTGCAGTTGCTGGTTTTGCCCCTGAGCTGCCTGCTTAGCTGACATTAGAAATGTTGCACAAAAGCCTATAACAATGCTTTTACATTGGATTGGCTAAGACTGTCAAGTAGGCAGATCAGGGGCCAGCACAAGCCAAACAAGACCCTGGCCAATCAGCATCTCCTCATAGAGATCAATGCATCTCTATGAAAAAAGTTCAGTGTCTTCATGCAGAGGGTGGAGACACTGACAGTACTGCACCTCTAGCAGCCATCTAAAGAGTGACCAGTGGAGGTTATAATGTAAACACTGCCTTTTCTCTGAAAAAAATTTACTGCAAAAGGGAATGATTACACTCACCAGAACAAATACAATAAGGTGTAGTTGTTCTGGTGACTATAGTGTCCCTTTAACCCCTTAAGGACCAAACTTCTGGAATAAAAGGGAATCATGACATGTCACACATGTCATGTGTCCTTAAGGGGTTAAAATACAAAATCTGATTTTAAATAAAAATCAAACCTGTTCTTAAATGATAGATACACATTTCGATTATACATTGTTCTAGCAGCGTTGCTAGCAAATGTCTGGATTTCTCTAAAATCACCAAATAAAAAAAAAAACCATTATCTGGCCATTAATTGTCTCACTTGCTACATGAAGTCTTCCTTCACACCATAACACTTTCTAATGAATGTTACAGTAACAATCACGGAGGAGGTATTTGTTGCTTTTTGCTTTTCTTCCAGATTTGGGTGCTGCTTTTATAATCTCATTGCTGTTGAGAGCATGATGACTTTTATGAGAATAGTTACTGCCTGTAATATGTCAGCTTGGCAAATGAAGAGAAAAACGCAGTCAGAATTGGTTGTTTTTGTGATGCTGGAAGTGTGCACTACTCCCTTTTTTATTTTTTCCCTTCATTTTATTTAGTAGTGAATATCTAGATGATCTTTTTACATACTTGTGCTGGCATCAGTGAGCTCATTGGACCATGTGGATCAGTAGATTAATATCTTCAGTGATGGAAAGACAGGAAGAGGTCTCTGCCAGGTAGAAGGCAAAAAAAGAATAGGAAGTATTGTGCTCAGATGTGTTGGACTTAAAAAATGATTCCTGTTTGTTAAATGTTTTTCAGTCTATGAAAATGTTTGCAGCACATTTCCGAGTATTTACAATTTCACAACTCTTTATGTTAAGAAAGATATTGGATTTGTTTTCTTGGGTAGCTGCTCATTGATCATTCCACAAAGCCAATGTATTCCAAAGAAAACAGTGTTTGCCTGCATTTCCAAAGTCACCTTGAATTTTTGAGCGGCACGGCTATATTTTCTGGTTTGCTCTTTCAAACTATTATTTCCTTCAATTATTACATCTCTAGTCAGCCCAGCCTGTGGTGCATTGTCTTGCTGCTAAATTGACCGTTCATCCATGACTGACTTTCTGTCGCTCGCAGCATTCTAAATAGAAATGGGAGTGAGCTATTGACAGAATCATAAAATAAAGTTGTCTCTCTAAAGATTTCACTTCAAATAACCATCTTTTTATGTAGCTCGAGGGGCAAACAATGATTGAATAAGCCCTAGAAAATGGATTATTGCTTCATTCACATACCCTTTTTTAAGGCTTTCTGCTTCAGGACTACAGCTACACAGAATTGAAGATGGTGAAAACCTTTTGAAATTTTTTTTTCTTTTTATAAAAAATGTAATTCCCTATTGTAGAAATCTGTAACGTGACTTATGAATGATGTGCAGGGTTACTGATTTCATCTGTACGTTAATGAAACTTGCATTTCTATGCTGGGGAGCAGATGCTTATTGGTATTCACAAGGATACTACTTGCAGTGCTGTTTTCATAATTCCTGTATTTGGAGAGTTGTTTTTGCTAAGAAAGGATTGTTCAATTCAATATTTTGTCGCTGTAATGACATTTATATTTTGCAATAACTGGGAGGGGGTCCCTTTGTATGCTGCAATATTATATATCTACCGTATTTTCCGGCGTATAAGACGACCCCCAACTTTTCCAGTTAAAATATAGAGTTTGGGATATACTCGCCGTATAAGACTACCCCTCTTCCAATGCACACCAAATAAAAATTAGCCATGATGTACAGTGAGCAGGCAGAGCTACACAGCAAGACTCCCCAATCCTCCCTACATTCTTCTCACCTCACCTTCCCTGTGCAGGGTGGGTGGCCGAGCTCCTCTTCGTCCTGTCAGTCCGGCCGGGTACCGCGCGATACAGGAGATTCAGTTACCTGTTCCCGGCCGGACTGAAAGGAAGTGAGCACTCAGTGTGCACTTCCTTTCAGTCCAGCCGGGAACAGGTAACTGAATCTCCTGTACCGCGCGGTACCCGGCCGGACTGACAGGACGAAGAGGAGCTCGGCCACCCACTCTGCACAGGGAAGGGGAGGTGAGAAGAGAGGCAGTGCGGCAGCCGTCTGAGCGCTCTCTATAGAGCGCTCAGGCGGCTGCAGCATTAGAAGGGCCGGCGATGGGTGCGCAGGGCACCCCCGGAAGATAGATATAGATAGATAGAGAGAGATAGATAGATATATAGATATATATATATCTTGATCGACCCCCGACTTTGGAGAAGATTTTCCAGGGTTAAAAGTCATCTTATACGCCAGAAAATACAGTATATGTTTGCTTCCCTTCCATTTTTTTTTTCTCTTCATTTTATGAAAGTTAAACCCTTAAAGACTAAGGCAATTGTACAAGTATTGACCAAAACCTAGAACTTGATCTATGTCTTTTAAACCACAATTGACTTCTTTCATATTAAGTGCCCCTACACTTAATATAATTTTATTCAGGAGAAATAGGGTGTTCATTTCACATCCAACATTTATATCTGAAACTATATTTTATTTTCCAAGTTCATCATGGTATTTTTAACTGTGAATGTTATAATACTGTGTTTCTACTGTAATATAATACACACAGTTGTATTTTGTGATGCCACCCCATGTACAGCTGTTTGGTGTTTTAAAGTTATAGGATCAAATCTAGGGCTTACCCATTTCAGTTTGTACACATTGAAATTTGTCAGGTTGTTTTGCTGGGCCTATGTTGTCTTTGAGACTGTATGGCAGCCCAGGAATGCGAATTACCCCCATCATGTCCTACCATTTGATGATTCAGGGTATTCAAAATGGGGTATGTCCAGCCTTTTTTTTATTTTATTTTTTATTTATTTTTTAATTCTTTATTTTGGTTGTGCAGATAATTACAGGTTCTCAACAGATGCCACAACGGCGTGTTTCAGGAGTTACAGAAATTAAATTGTGGCATAGAAGTTTGCACATTTTCTTTATATAGAGATAACAAGCTTGACTGAACATTTATCTTGTTAGAATAGCATTTGGGTAAATGATATTCAGCAGGTTAGGTGTGCTAGTTAGCTGGACAGTTGTGATGTAGGTTGTAGGCATTGTGTTTGTTAATGGTGTGTTAGGAGAGACAACCACAATACAATGCTAGCTAGACATTTTGAACAGCCTATTGAAATGCAGCTATTAATTCGTACTGTATATGTTTGTTGCAAGTTGCTAAGCAAAAGGGTGAAAATAACTATCACTGTGCTTGGTAGGCTATATGAACTGCTTGACAGTAGAGATTATGGTGTATGCGCTATGTGTGCTGAGTTACCAATGCAGCTTGTGTGAGTATGGGTGAGGCTATAGGTAGGTATGCTTATCTTGTGGTCGCTTGGTCTCAAGTGAAGCCCCCCCCCTGCAGTCCATGGCAGGAGCAACGGGAAGGGATGTTAAAGCTTAAGTGCATGCATACATTTATAAGAGTTCATCTGGGTTGTGGGAAGGTAAGGGATATTAGGCACTTTGCCTGTCATTGAGACCCAGTCCTAGGTGGTTCATCCGATGCCCCGTTGGGGGTGGTTGTGCTCCCCTCGCGCTGTCAGTTGCTCAGTGCTGGGCTCCGGTTCGCCCTGAGAGTAGCGTGTGTTCCCGGTTGGGATTTTTGTGGGTCGGCGTGGACACTGGCTGCTGCCGGTTCGAGTTAGTGATGTTGTGGTCGCGGTCGGGTTAGGTTTTACGCTCCGCCGTCTGCGTGGGCTGCCTTGATATGTTTTGCCCCCCTCGAGTCTGCGCTGGTTCACTGCCTTTCTGTTGGGCTGTCTGTGAGGCTGTATCCCAGGATTTCCTTTAGTTTGAATTGAGTCTTTGGAGGGCTGTATTGGGCTGTGGAGGGTGCGTGGTGGTGAGTGATCCAGTGCCGTGCCCAAGGGTGCCCCCCTCGCTGTCGGCTGCACGTGGCCCCTCTCACCTGCTCTCTTGGGGGTTTTCCGACTTGTCTGTGCGCTCTGTGCTCGGAGCTGCAGTTTCTCCCAGAACTTGGCGAACAGCTCATCAATGCGCCTTGTGAGGTCGGTGCTGCTGTCTGGACGCTGCTTTGGGATTGCAGGCTGGAACCGCTGTCGTGGTGAGTACTCAGCCGCCATCTTGTGCGTGCCTTGTGTGTCGCCGGCCCTGGAGTTCTACTGTGTCTCGTCTGTCTGTGCAGGTGTGGCACTCCGGGCTCACGGCGAGGACCGGGATATCCCCCTCCGGTCCGGGGGGGGGGTTAGGAGGTTTGAGGGTCGAGGTGCTTCTGCAGCAGGCTGGCAGAGAGGAGAGCGGCCGTCTCTCCCTCTCCTTCTGTCTCGCAGGCCTCGGCAACCGCAGTGTGGGTCTCCGGGTCGTCAGGCTAGTGATTTGGGTATCGGAAGATGTGCCCGGGCGTCCCCCATACGGTTATGCCTCACCCGAGCAAAACAAATCGTTTGTTTTGTGTCGGAGCTCGGACCTGGCACGTCCGCTCGGTCTGGATGTTAGGCTCCGCCCCATGTCCAGCCTTTTTATTGTAGTCTCAAACCCTGGTCAAAGTTAGTGTAAATTGTTTTTAACCCTTTTTCACACAAACTGTACTTTCAGTCTAAAACACTCATGTTTGTGTTCTGTGATGTCTTGTGTGTTTAACAGTAACCCCACGCCATGAACAGGTATCATGGGGTTTTGGAAAGTTGCAGGGTCAAATATAGGGATTGCCCATTTTTCAGTCTTCGTGCCTGTAAATTAGGCTAAGAAAATCACTTTGTCAATGTCTTCTTTGAAAGAGTATGGCGACACAGGCCCATGGCTGGGCTTAACGTAAACAGTTGCATGCCAAGGTCAGGGGAATTCAGAAGTCAGAGTAGTCTGTATAATAAACCAATAAGTGTTTGCAGGCAACTAGCAAAGAATAATCAGGGAAGCTGGGGTCAAAAATACAGAAAAATCAAACTGACAAAGTTCCATACAGAATGCTTTAATAGTTTAGCTATGTGTGGTAGACTCTGAAATCATCTGTTATGCAGAGGGCAGGTAATGATGTGCAGGAAGGACAGTTGTATCCGAAGTCCTATTGGACTCCTTTCTTGAAGCAAATGCAACACTTTCTCCTGGGTAACTCTCTATTGGGTGTGGGGGGTAGGATTCGGGAAGGAAAGTACTTGACACACGGTCTTCTTCATCTCCTGATTCCAAAGTGGGAGGACTTTGGGGACTGTGTAACTAGAATATTGGACAATAGTTTCAACAGAGAATCATTAAATGGGTGTGGCTTCCCTTTGGCTGCTATTTTTTTTAATATAACAAAGATGTATTGAAAATTGCAACCTGTCTTAAACCGATTGCAATTTTCTTGTACAAGGTCTTACTTTTTCAGTTCACCAGATAAGGCGGTCTACATTGATCATCTTCTGGTCTACAAAGCACTTTGCTTTTTCCAGGTGCTCAGTTCTTCCTCTGACATACTGGCACTGTACCTTTGTTGTGCATTGTAGACCGCATGCATACATCTTTCTTTATCTTAACTAATAAATAGAAACACCATGCAAGTACGGTAAACAAAGGTATTTTTAAACACAAATTAGCTGGGCAACTAGCAGTCATCTTGTCTTAAGTTGAACCTCTCACTCCACAAAACTTCATTGTACAGCTAGTTTCAATAGCACAATGTAAACTGTACAAATCAAAAGCTTGCCAGGCACCCAGTAGTGCATCAGGAAGTGAATGTTGCATTGTTACTTACAAAGTGAAAGGTATCTATTGTATTTTGCCTTCCTTGTAAGATAGTGTTCCCTCTGAGAAGGGGAATCTCTGCCAAAAATGTATTAATAAAAGAACAAAAATGCTAAAAAAAATAAAAAATATAATATATATTATTTTGAAGGGGGATTTGACAGTGTATGCTGTCTGCTGCACAATTACAGACAAATGGCCACCTGCTTTGTTTAGTTTGTCAAGTTACATGACAATAAGTCTTGTTTGAAACTGAAGAATGGTGATCACATCTGTTAATGTAGCAATTATGAAACATGGCTTATTTTATAAAAATGACATAAGCAAGTTATATTGCTTCTTGACAAATGAAACACAAATAGTTTCTCAAACGCAACGAACTATGCACATCTGCACAGTTCTGCAGAAAGTTGTCATAATGGACTGTACCCATTAGGATGAGTCTGCTTCAAGCCCTAAAACAAAGTAATTTTAGTACTTTTAATAGATGTTTAACATGTATGCCAGCCATACATGTTAAGCAGGGTATGCTATTTTTCTCTTGTTTAATTAGCTCTAGCATGAGTAGTGCCTATTTCTAGTAATTGTTATATGAAATGTCGGGGCAGCTAACAGGGATAACATTTTAAATTATTTTAAATCCTTTTTATTTATTATTGCCATCTCAACCCCTTGATGCATGGACAAAACCTGAAAATGTAATTTATCCTGTTGAGCTCCATTGACATTTTTGTTGTGTTTTTGTCTTTACCCAGCAGAGAAACTTATTTTTTTACCCCTCAGAAAAAAAAAAAAAAAGCATACTGTTGAAAAAAAATATGTAAGGCACTTTTTTGGTCAAATCTTCTGTTTAGGGACTAAACATTTAACTTTTTCTCCATTACTGTGAAAAATTAAGTTGGCAGCATTCTTTCATCCAGGTAGTGCCCTTGGCACTTGAAAAGACTTCTGTGCTGACTGTAATAGCAGCGGGCTATGACCTGTATTATACAGAAAACTGTACATACCACATGAGGGGTTTATATTGACAGTTGATGGCATTTGGGGGAAATTTCATCTCTCAATATTCTATCTTTATCCCTCTGAGTGATCTGAAAAATCCAGGCTGATAATGGCAACATAAAAATGTCTTATGGCTCCTAGTAGTGCCTCCCTCCATGGGTCAGAGATCAAAAGATGTCATCTGATAGGCTTCCCTTGTGTACTTACTTGGTGTAGTCCTTTTCCATCCCATATGTTGCTTACCACTGGTGACAGTGAGAAAGGAAAGAAGATTTGTTGTCTGCTGTTTCTGAATGATGTCTTGGCAAACACAGACTTTCCCACTCTTTCTCTTGAGCGCTGCATTCTGGCAGAGCGGGATGGTAGTAGCATCATCCCAGCGCGCGGTTTGAATATGGTGCAAGGGGAGCAGAAACGTAAGGACTATTTTACAGTAACGGGTTGGAAGACAGGTAGCATTTTCCTCTCTTTTTAAATACACAGATTATTCTGAGTGTAGTATTTGGTACACTTGGAGGATAACAGACAAGAAAATGCATGTGTGTAATGCTTTCATACAAGCTGTAGTAGTATCGGTGTGTAGTGGTATTATCCCCACTACTGGACGTAAGCGTAGGTAGGGTCACTTTTGTCAATCACAATGGAACATGTAATGACTGAATAAAATCCAATAGTGCAATATTGTAAGTACAGAGTACATAATGTCTTGAATAATAAAGGAAATTTTAATAGGAGCTTGTATAAAAACTCTATAACATGTGACTGCATTAGGCTGTAGTGGTTCTGGTGACTATAGTGTCCCTTTAAGAACTGTATTCTTGTCGCTGAACATGAAGCTTTTGATAGTTAAACATACTTGGCTCTTAACTTTTTTTAGCTAGTTACTAGAATCTAAGTAAATTTGTCAAGCCCTGCATTAAGTGGTGCTACTAGGCTGAGACTGCTATTCAGTACAGTATTTTTTGTTCACTTTAAATGGCATATTTTATGCTTGATTTGTCTTATTGCAAATAATTATCTGCTTGTGGATTCCTGAAAGTAAAACTTTGTTCATTCATAAAATTTGAACGTTTTCATTTTTGTTCATTAAACCCCAAAAAAAGTTTGCAATTATACGGTATCCCTTCGAAAGTTGTTCAACTAAGCACCAGTGTCACAAAGGTCAGCATCCCAGCTTCTGTTTTGGTTTTTTTTCTACAAGGAACCCGCTGGCACTTTTGAAATGCTGTTTTCAAAATACCATTAGAATGCAGATTGACTTTATGGGTATAATTCCTGCATAGCTTAAAAGCAGTCGCCTTGTTAGTACCTGATAACTTTCTTTCGGGGGTCGTCGCAAACACTTTGCTGCAAGTGTACTTCTCTCTGTATAATTTTATTTTGATTTTGAAAAAAAAAAAAAAAAAGCTTAAGGGCAGTAATCAAAACTTAATGGAACACATCTTAATACATAACTTTACCATAATCTGTTTTAAAATGTACAATATGGAACGCCTTTTTCTTTACAGGAAACTCAGGATTTCCCTTTTACTTGTCATTAGTCTAACACTTGTGTTGCAAATTACTCATAAAATATTAACATACACAATTACATCAGGGCTCGACAAATCCCAGGTAGCCATGGCGACTAAGAATTTTGCCCTGCGTCCTGGGATTGGTTAGCCCGTTCCCTCCTCTTCCTAACTCAATCGCCGTGTAGGGCTCTGTGCGCCAGTGTACCGGGAGGAAGTGAACTCTAATTACTTTCTCCCAGCGCTGAGGCAGCACAGCAGGACACCTGGCAAAATCGTCTGTTTGCCTCCCACCCACATTTCTCAGACCTGACCGCCTGCCTAATCGTTCCCCTACGCAGCTTCAGCACCGGGAGGAAGTAATTGCAGATCCCTTAACTTCCTCCTGGCGCACAGTGAGCTGCACATGATATCGAAACAGGTGGAGGAAAGGAGTCTTGACCAGAGGCAGCCCATTCCCATTAGGCGCAGCCAGCCCCACCAATCTGCCTCCAGCTGTGCTCAATCCCACTGGACCCCAGGGAAGCCACTCTCCTGTGCCCAAAAGGTAGGAATAGGAGAGTGGCTAAAAATGTTTTAATTTTTTTTTCTGTGTGTATATATGCGTGCTGTGTGTGTATCAAATAATAAATATCTTGTGTGTGTCTGTCAATGAATGTGTATGTTTAGGTCACCAGCCCCCCTCCAATCGCATGGGAATGTTGTTTTTACTCACATGTTTTCCAATGCCTTGCCAGTCTCGCCGTAGCTGGCCCGCCTCCATAACTGAGATTATCAATTACCAATCAACATCTCATAGTGAAGCATTAAAGCAGTGCATCTCTATGGGGAACTTCAGCGCCGCCTCCACGCTGAATGTAGGTGCTGCATATTGTGAAGCACTGAGATAGAGACTTTAGTGGCTGTTGGAATGACTGCCACTAGAGGTGTTACTAGGTAGCAATTTACACGTTTGTTCTCCCAAATGATTAAATTGTCATTCGTGCCCTGAAGTCGTGTTTTAAGCTTGCATAGGTTTTTGTGTATTTGTAACTCTTCCCGCCCCCCCCCCCTTCCATCCCAAATTATTTTTGTCATGCAGAAAAAGTGGAACACTGCACACTTACCTGAATGTGGATCGTTGTGCATGTGTAGTGTCCCTTTATGTACAGAGTATTTGATGTTTTTGTAATGTCCCCTTTTTAATATAGAGCTTTGTCTGATGCACCATGTGGTGAGGAAGACTCAAGTAGTTTATTGTGGACCGCTTGAGTGTGTAATGTGCTTTCTTTTCTATCTTAAAATGAGTATGTGTTTATGTAAACAGAAGCTAACATACATCAGTTACAAGCGATATATCTTATTTAAAAAGTTTTTTTTGTTTTTTTTTTATTATAATATTGCAACGGTTACAATTTATAAAATCTTACTAAGAACTCGACAACCCATACTTCTTAAGCATACTATAGAGGTCTCCAAGGCTGCCTTTGTGAATGAAGAGGGAAACCATTTAAAAACAAATGCTAAATTTTACCTTTTCTGTCATTCAGATGTTTGTTGTGGATAGAGTGGAAGGAGATAATTGCTCTCTACATGAGTTTTCTGTAACTGGATCAACATACGCACCCATGGGAGAAGTGTAAGTAGAAGATCTTTAATCCTTCATTATAGATTATCATTGCTAGTTATCACGTTACTTTTTTGCACTGTTTGTATTGAAATACAAGGTGAACATAGAGTCCATTTGGGTTGTTAGAATTTGGTAATCATACAGTAACTCGTGTAGATGTGATTTATAGGTCCCCAGGACAAATAGAAGAGTTAGATCATCTAATAGTTGAAGAAATAGTTAAAATGCCAACGAAGGGGGAAGTTATCATCATGGGTGACTATAATCTTCCCGATGTGAATTGAAAAACCAAAGTAGCTGCTTGTGCCAGGAGCACACATATTCTAAACTCCCTACTGGGTTAGTCTCTAAAACAAGTCGTTGAGGAGCCAACTCGTAAAGAGGCCATACTAGATTTAGTGTTAACAAATGGAGATTTGGTATCAGATATTACTGTAGGTGAAAGTTTAGGATTATCAGTCAGTGTGGTTTAATATAAGAACAGTGACTAAGTCACAACACACAAAAACAAAAGTTTAAGACTTAAGAAAAACAGACATTTCTAAAATTAGAATATGTGCAAAGGAGTCATCAGACTGGAGCAATTTAAATGGAGTCCATGAGAAATGGGATTATTTAAAAGTTGTACTGCTAAAGGCAACAGAAAATGGCATTAGGCTTGTCAGTAAAAGCAAAAAATTCAAGAAACCACTGTGGTACTCCGAAGATGTGACCAAAATAGTAAAAACAAAAAGTTGGCATTTAGTAATTATAGATCATTCTGTCTTTCTCACTCTGGTTGTTGTTTTTTTTTTTTTTTAATAAGATTAGGCAGAAAGAGCCTAAGCAAGTTATAAGAGCTTCCAAATCGCACACAGTAGAGAAAATAGCACAGTCAGTAAAAGAAAAGGACAAAACATATATTTTAGATAAATGCGAAAAGCAAAGTAAAACCAGGATTAGTCGGATTAAAAACAAAAGGAAGGTATGAAGAAGAGGATAAAGGTCTAGCTGACTGTCTCAATTAATATTTTTGTTCAGTATATACAGATGAAAATGAAGGAAAGGGGCCTCAGTTAGGAAAAAGGACAAATTAGGCATTTGTTACGTGCGAGTTTACAGAGGAAGAGGTTCTATTTCAACTTTCAAAAGTAAAGACAAATAAGTCAATGGGACCTGATGGAATATACCCAAAGTTATTAAAAGAGCTTAGTGGTGTACTAGCAAAAGCATTAACAGATTTATTTAACCAATCATTGTTAACAGGAGTAGTCCCAGAAGATTGGAAGTTGGCGAATGTTGTGCCCATTCACAAGAAAGGTAGTAGGGAGGAGTCGGGCAACTATAGGCTAGTAAACCTTACTTTACTAGTGGGGAAAGTAATGGAAACCATGTTAAAGGATAGGATTGTTGAACATCTAAACACATGGATTTCATGATCAGAGACAACGTGGGTTTACTTTAGTGAGATCGTGCCAAACTAATCTTATTGATTTTTTTGATTGGGTAACTAAAATTATAGATCAGGGTGGTGCAGTAGACCTTGCTTACCCAGATTTCATTAAGGCTTTTGACACTGTTGCACCTATACGGCTTATCAATAAACTGCAATCTTTAAGTTTGGATTCCAATATTGTTGAATGGGTAAGGCAGTGGCTGAGTGACTGGCAACAGAGGGTTGTCGTCAATGGAGTATATTCGAAGCATGGGCTTGTCACCAGTGGGATACTTCAGGGATCTGTACATGGACCCATTCTCTTTAATATTTTTATTAGTGATATTGCAGAAGGACTTGATGGTAAGGAATGTTTTTTTTGCTGATACTAAGATATGTAACAGGGATGATGTTTCAGGAGGGAAAAGCCAAATGGCAAATGATTTAGGTAAACTAGAAAAATGGTCAGAGTTGTGGCAACTGACATTTAATGTGGATAAGTGCAAGATAATGCATCTTGGATGTAAAAACCCATGGGCAGAGTACAGAATATTTGATGGCGTCCTAACCAACATCTGAGGAAAGGGAATTAGGGGTGATTATTTCTGATGACTTAAAGGTAGCCAGACAATGTAATAGAGCTGCAGGAAATGCTAGCAGAATGCTTGGTTGTATAGGGAGAGGTATTAGCAGTAGAAAGAGGGAAGTGCTCATGCCATTGTACAGAACACTGGTAAGACCAGTATCTCCAGAAGGATATTGATACTTTAGAGAGAGTTCAGAGAAGGGCTACTAAACTGGTTCATGGATTGCAGGATAAAACTTACAAGGAAAGGTTAAAGGAACTTCAGCTGGAAAGCTATTCCATGCATCCACTACCCTCTCAGTAAAGTAATACTTCCTGATATTTATTTTTTTTTAAACCTTTTGCCCCTCTAATTTAAGACTGTCTTCTTGTTGTGGTAGTTCTCCTTTTAAATTTAGTCTCCTCCTTTACTGTGTTGATTCCCTTTATGTATTTAAATGTTTCTATCATCCCCCCTGTCTCGTCTTTCCTCCAAGCTATACACGTTAAGATCCTTTAACCTTTCATGGTATCGAGAGCTAGTACTAATGCAGAGCGTTGCTCTTTTAATGTATGATACTACTGAGCATCGGATGATGTAGTTCTAATATTGGCTCGCACTGCTCTGTCACATTTTTGTGCCATTTTGTTTCTATTTCAGTTGTACATAGTTTGTTAATAATTGTATTAAGCTTTATAATGTTATGAAGTAATGATGTGAACATATCACTACTGTATTTCTATTTTTCCATAGGCTGAAAGATGACAAACTTGTGAAATGCCACCAGTATGATGGTCTGGTAGAGCTTGCTACCATCTGTGCTCTTTGCAATGATTCTTCTTTGGACTTTAACGAGGTTTGTGCGACTATTTATACATTTTTCAATCCACTATCTTGTGTTCACTTTGAGGTTAAATCCTATGTATACTTTAGTCAAACAGGGTTTGATCAATGTACCTGCCTTGGTTCTTCTTTATTCAGATCTCTGCATTTATTCTAATAGTTGGTTCATTTACTTTCTCTCCAATCTGATTGACGCATAAAAAATACAAGTTGTTTTTTTTTCTTTTGTTTTTTTGTCTATTGACCTTTCTCGACATTCTTTCTTCCAAACAGGCAAAGGGAGTGTATGAAAAAGTTGGGGAAGCTACGGAGACTGCACTTACATGTCTGGTTGAAAAGATGAATGTTTTTGATACAGAGCTGAAAGGTCTAACAAGAATTGAACGTGCAAATGCTTGCAATTCGGTGAGCTTCAATGTAGATTAAGATGAATTGCAAAGCATACAGAAAAAAAATGCATATTGCTTCGTGTTAACACCTTTTTGAAATATAATTTATAGGTCATAAAACAACTGATGAGGAAGGAATTCACTTTAGAGTTTTCAAGAGACCGAAAATCCATGTCTGTGTACTGTACTCCAAATAAACCAACCCGCACTAGCATGAGCAAAATGTTTGTCAAGGTAAGGAAAACATTCTGTAAAATCTAGCATTGGTTGTGATGATATCCTCTCCCTCTCTGACTTATAGAAAATTTAAGATATGTTATACCCCTTCCCCCCATTTCTTTCTTTATTGCGAGTTTTTGCACATAGTGTAAAATATTTCAGTGAGCAGCAGGTTAATGATTCTAACAGTACATGCATACATTTGTCACCAAGCTGGGCTTACTCATTTTTTGTTGTTAGGGGCTTATACACCCAGGCTGCCCTATGGGTGGTCCTAAGGCGTGTGGCTTGGGGGTTGCTGGAGTCGGGCTGCATGCGCCTTGTGGCTAATTTGTGTAGCACCGTGGAGCTTTAGTAAGGCGCTTATTTAAGGTGTATAGAACTTCTTAAAGCCGGGTATGGGTTGTCTTAGTAGTGCTATTCCGGGAGATTAGGGTCATGCGCTATATAATCAGTGGTCTGCTACTTTTGCGCAGTGGTTTCGCTTGGCAACCTTGTGCTGGTGGGGTGGGAGGGGGGACATGGTGACTTTAACTTAGAGTTACATCTAAGGTATATTTACTTTTAAGTAAACTATCCAGCACTTTTTATATAGATCTGCAGTTCCTGGTTTACAGTCATTCTCTTTTAAACCGCAAACTAGAGGCTTTGCTAGCAGGTCTACGCGTGTGTAGTAGCTCTGCCTTAACCATAGTACTGTATTACGGCGGTGTTAGACATGAGTCTGACAGGCCTGTCATATCTCCTAGCAATATCGCTTACCAGTAGCCATATCAAACACTAAGAAAATGGCCTTGAGTTTTCCATGATCGTAGCAGAGCAGTTCTATAGACTTTATGCTATCTGTCCAGTACCCAAAGAACAATCAAAAATGTTAGCATACAATATTCATCCATTTATCTCTCAATCTATATTAATATATTATAATTGTTTGTATTATTGTTTGAATAGGGGAAATAACTTATTTAATTTTTTATGCATAACTGCATCTTATTAATTCATTACAACTTTTTCTTGAAATTGTGGGGGATTGAAAGTGAATTTTGAAATGCATTTGCTATCATAGGGTGCTCCAGAAGGCTTAATTGACAGATGTACCCACATTCGTGTTGGAAACGCAAAAGTGCCTTTGACTCCAGGAGTGAAGCAGAAGGTTACGAGTGTAATCAGGGAATGGGGCTCTGGCAGAGACACCCTGCGTTGTTTGGCACTGGCAACACATGACAACCCACCAAGAAAAGAAGACATGAATCTTCAGGAATCCTCCAACTTCATTAATTACGAGGTTAGCATTTTTTTTATTCTTCTTAGTGTTTGTATTTCTTAATAAACTGACTTGTGTCCATTAAAAATGTGTGGTTTCTGCTGAAGCCGTCTCAAAGCGTATGTTTGACTTTGACAAATTATATCTTTATTTTAGAGGGCAGAACATCCATTAAGTATAACCTGTGTAATCTTTATTCAACCCCTCTTAATTATATTGAACTGTAAAATCAATCTGTAATGTTGAAAGCAAGTATGCGTATGTATAACTTTTTTATTTTTGTATCCACTTTTGACTTTAGACTAACCTGACCTTTGTTGGCTGTGTGGGAATGTTGGACCCTCCCAGAACAGAAGTGGCTGCTTCTGTAAAAATGTGCAGGCAAGCAGGTATTCGTGTGATCATGATTACCGGTGACAACAAAGGAACTGCAGTTGCAATTTGTCGTCGTGTTGGTATCTTCCGTGAAGATGAAGATGTTACAGAAAAGGCTTTTACCGGCCGTGAATTTGATGAGCTGTCTCTGGCTGCACAGAGGGATGCTTGTATGAACGCTCGCTGCTTTGCTCGTGTGGAACCTTCACATAAGTCTAAAATTGTGGAATTTCTACAGTCTTTTGATGAAATCACTGCCATGGTAAGATAACTGCAGTAAAAAGTACAGCAAAACTCCACCACTGCTTCTTTTCTTTTAACTTGATCTGTTTAAAATGTTTATTTTTAAAGTTAGACATGCACACCGTCCTGGAATTGTGACCCACTTTTTATGCACTTTGTTGTTTCGATTTAAATATACACCCATCTGACATCCGGTAATTAGTGATATTTCTTGATGCTCTCTTCTTTTCTACGACAGTGCATTATGGATCCCAAAAACATCTAAATAAGAGTGCCTTATATGTGCAGCAATCTTAATGCTCAAGTTGTCTTCGTTATGCTGGTGAATCTTATTCAGCTCTTGGAGCAGACATCATTGCATGCACAAGAGTACAGCATTGAGATCTATGGAGGATCCCGCAGTACATAGGCACAGCTAATTCTCTGCAGCCGTCACTGGTGACAGCTGGACAGGTTGACACTTAAAGATGGCGGTAGCTCCATCCAGCATCTAGAAGGGTCAGGCTACGTAAATATACAGACCATTTAGTCCCTATTGTCTCGATGTCTCTTGACTGGGTTGGAATTTCAGTGAGATCGTAACACCTTCAAAATGAGTATTTCATAAAGCTTCTATCTTTCTGAAATATTTATTCTTCCGTTAAGATAAAGAGAACCTCTTGTCAATGGATGCCTCCTCTGCTCCAATTAGTTTGCACAACTTCTTCTACATTGTTTTAAATTGTCTTATCTAAATGGGGGGCACAGGAAGGGGGGGGGGGGATTACTAAAGTCTTGACCAGAGTTTCTGATGTGTGTGTGTGTGTTAAAAGTATGCTTTCTGTGTTTCAGACTGGTGATGGAGTAAATGATGCACCGGCACTTAAAAAAGCAGAAATTGGAATAGCCATGGGGTCGGGCACTGCAGTTGCTAAAACAGCTTCAGAAATGGTCCTGGCTGATGATAATTTCTCTACCATTGTGGCTGCTGTGGAAGAAGGACGTGCTATTTATAACAACATGAAACAGTTTATTCGATACCTCATTTCCTCTAATGTAGGAGAAGTTGTTTGGTATGTATCATTCAAAGATTAACCACATGTAGTGTTTTCACTGCACTGCCTGAACATATGTAAGGAAGGGTTGGGTGGCAAAATTGGCTGAGTGAGGGAGGGATACAGCAGGCAGTGGGAGTGATCTGAAAGGGTCACATCGTAGGGTAAGGTAGCACATAGACATTTGCGTGGTTTTTCCTACAACAGTTCATCAGATGCATAAAAAATTTGAACCAGGCATTTAAATCATTCATACCTGGTCAAAAAGTTTATTGGAATCTGTAGTAACATGTGGCAATTTATGTACCGAACTATACAAGTCTGCAGTCTATATGAGCAATTGGTGCTCAGTGGCCCATTTCACATCAACACAGTAAGAATTCTTAGTGAATGCCAGATTACCTCACCTGATCTCTGTATTGTTGGGCAATCATGTGGCTACAGTCAATCCATTAATAGATGTAATGTGTGCGGGTATGTTACTTCCTGCGGTGTTGCGTAACATCGAGTGCCATGTTCTGTGAAGTCCTGCATATATAATCATGCAAATTGGCACGTATTTAAGTTATGACATTTCAAAAACCGACATTCTATACAATATGTATATGTACCACATTCTGTCACTATGTATACTATATATGTTTTACATGTTTATGTATACATTTTTCTTAATTTATTTTAGTATTTTCTTGACTGCTGCTCTCGGTTTCCCTGAAGCATTAATACCTGTTCAACTTCTTTGGGTTAATCTGGTGACTGATGGTCTACCAGCCACTGCACTGGGCTTCAATCCTCCTGATTTGGACATTATGAGCAAGCCACCCCGCAATCCCAAGGAGCCTTTAATAAGTGGTTGGCTATTCTTTCGATATCTAGCTATTGGATGTAAGTAATGCTCTCTTAAAGTCCGATTGTCGCTGTTCTATACCAGTTTCAGTTTATATATTAGATTTTTCTTTTGAATGAGCTACAATCAACAACGTCATGATTCACCAACTAAAATGAACACACAATGTCATGAAAATGATTTATTTTGAACACGAGCTAGCTCATTAATTGAAGGCAAAACCATTTTCTGCAGTTTATCCCTTGTCTGTCTTTCTTAGCATTTCAGGATAACTTGTACCAATCCAGCTAGTTTTTTCCTGTTCATGTGTGATTGTTTTTTTATGTTAGTTACACTGTTTTGTGTTTGAAAACTGGTTAATAGGACTGACACACTTGATTGTGCTTCTGTTTTTGTTTTTTCTGCTATCCTAAATATGCTAAGTTTAAATCCTTAATGGCTGAGAGTTTGTAACACTGCAATTATTTAAAAAAATAAATAAAATAATAATCTGCTGTCACGTAGGTCATTAAATCTACTTTATTTTCCTAGGCTATGTCGGTGCTGCTACAGTTGGTGCAGCTGCTTGGTGGTTCATTGCTGCTGAAGATGGACCAAAAGTGACATACTACCAGCTGGTATGTGTATTCCGTAAAATTTTTTGAATGTGTGTTCGTGTATGTATATTAGCATATTGTTTTGTGGGTGGTGGTGGTTGTTTTTTGAGGGTTTTTTTATGTTGTGTAATACGACTGCAGTGTAATAATCAAAGTAGGGGGTTTAAAAATAGAACACCTGGTTACAAAGCTTTTTAATGTAACTCTAGGAGGAGAAAATTTAATCAGTGTGCAAAATGGAGCCTAATGCACACTCCGTAACGGTGTTAAAGTTTATTACATAGTTCTTTCGTGTATTTGATTCACGTTTTCTTTCAAGTTTAATTGACAAATGGCAAATATTTTAGTGTTGTACTTTTAGTAATCTTAAACTGTATAAGCTGTTTATCTACACACTTAAACTGATCTTTTCCTTATTTCAGAGTCATTTTCTTCAGTGCAAAGAAGATAATCCTGACTTTGACGGTGTCAACTGTACAATTTTTGAATCTCCCTATCCAATGACGATGGCCCTCTCTGTTCTTGTTACCATAGAAATGTGCAATGCTCTGAATAGGTAAGTGCCAATGAGTACATAAACAGATTTTGTTGAAAAGAAAAGTGTGTATGTGTACATTGATCATTAAAAGAAAGTGTGGCTTGTGTATACATTATTATTATTAGGCTGATGTAATCCACATCTTCCTGGAAAGAATAGTAGTCAATTATTGTGAGATCAATTTTCTATATGCCATTAAGATTTATATATAAGAACAAATATCTTTTTAAAGCTTTGACAAAGACATTGCCATATTTGGCACCATGAAGTTCTTATTGCATCTATCAATGTAATAAGTCTATTTTTACTTTTGCCAATTGCAGGGCTTAGAAACAAATTATGATAAATAACATTAGAAATAACATTTATATATTTTTATTTTTTTTAAACTCTCTCTAGTTAAAGGGACACTGTAGGCATCCAGACTACTTCAGCTAATTGAAGTGGTCTGGGTGCTGTGACCCTTTTGCACTTAGTGCTGCAATGTAAAACTTTGCAGTTCCAGAGAACTGCAATGTTTACATTGCAGCTCTAAGTCTGCACTCAGTGGCTGTCTACCAGACAGCCATTGGGGGCGCTTCCGGAATGCTATTGGGGGTGCTCACGGACCTCCAGCGTCAGATTTTCCCCATAGCATAGCAAAGCATTGAATTAAACAAAAACGGCTTTGTTTTCCTGGCACTATAGGATCTCTTTAAGCCATTGACTGTATTTTGGATTTGTAGCATTTGGCAGCATGCAGGTGTAATGTGTTTAAAATGGTCTTGGAGTGTAGTTGACCAACTTTCTTCTGTTTTGTCATTTCTTAAGCTTGTCAGAGAACCAGTCGTTGTTGAGAATGCCTCCGTGGGAAAATGTTTGGTTGCTGGGCTCCATCTGCTTATCGATGTCACTACATTTCCTTATTATTTATGTAGAGCCATTACCGGTATGATTTTAAAAATTTTTTTTTATCTAATTAAATTAATTTCCAACATTTGAGCTGTGGTTTCTAACCAATTTTTCTTTTCATTTTTCTTTAGCTCATCTTCCAGATCACCCCGTTGAACTTGGTTCAGTGGCTCATGGTGCTGAAGTTCTCATTACCAGTTATACTTCTGGATGAGACCCTTAAATTTATTGCCCGTAACTACTTGGAACCTGGTAAAGAGTGTGAAAAGCCTGAAGCCAAAGGGTGCTCTTTTTCCGCATGCACTGAGGGCATCTCTTGGCCGTTTGTTTTCATCACGTTACCTTTGGTTACCTGGCTTTACAGCACAGACACTAACCTTACTGAAATGTTCTGGTCTTGACTGACAGTTTTACAGAATGGAAATGTTTAATTTAACCTGTTTTTTTTTGTTTTTTTTTCTCCTTTTAAATTTTGGTTTCCAACGCAACTGTCTATTTCTGCTGAATTTTCACATGAACATAGTGCTGGTAAAAGCAAATTTTGTTTTTCATATTAGAACTTATTTTGCTTCTCCCTACAACTCTGTTCAGGAAAAAAAAAAGGACGAGGTTCCCAGGTTTTTGGTTTTTTTGGTTTTTTTTTTTTTTTATATGCATAGTGTTCATTCACATGTACAGAAAACTAAACACTATTTTATGCAAATATTTTTTGTAGATGGGGGGAAAAAAACGCATGTACAGTGTTCTGTTTCGTAATCTTCATCCTAGAAAAATAAAAGGAAGCAAAAAGGAAATAACTGATCCAATGGACATTATCTGCAGAAAATTGGCAGCAGACTTAGGGAAAGTGATTTAATTTTTCAGAGACTAAAAAAAAGCATGATCTGTCTTTCTGCATGGTTATTTGGATTTGATATCATTGTGCTGTCTGTTGAATGGTCTATCTTAACCATACGCCAGTTTTTTTTTTCTTTTATTTGTTTTCTGCACGTAGCAGAGTAACGCTACCTCAGTCAGTATTTTTGTTAACCAGTTTCTCATTTCACTGTTTATTTACTTTTTCTGTTTACACAATTCCCTGTAAGAGGTAAGCATATTCTTGCTTGTGCAGCTGATATATATATATATATATATATATATATATATATATATATATATATATATATATATATATATATATATATATATATATTCAGCATTTAAATCATGTTTCCTTTCCATAGATTTTTAAGGTTATTTATTTGAATGTCTAATGTATTTTATTGTAACAGACATTTTGTCCCCCCCGTCAAGCTGCCCGTGTCAGGGTCTATACTTCCCAACCTGGTCAAAAATAAAAAACTTTTAATGGACAGAGAAAACTTGATGTCTTGTCTATATCACCCAAGCTTTTTCATTTTTTGTTTTTCTTTAGAACCTTTCTTGTCATTTTTGAGTAAAACAAACAAACAAAAAACCTGCGCTGCTAAGTTAGTCTGGATTATTTCTTGTGATAGAGCACACAAATAACCATAATTTTTTTTTTTTTTTTTTTAATACTGCAAGTTATTCTGCGGACTTGTATTAACCAGAGTTAGAGATGTAACTTGATTTGTGTGCATTTTTGTAAAATCTGTAAATAGCACATGACCAAATGAACATATTGTATAGAACTATTTTTTATTTAAGTGACACAAATGAACATCATTCTGCTACAGCATGGGTTTTTTTTGGGGGGGGTTTAATTCCTCAACCTCCAATGTTTGAGTCCTTTACCGTCCTAACTGTGGTGTTTTTCTCCAAATGCCTTCCAACCTTCAACAACTCAAGTGAGTATTTCTTTCGTTTATTTAAAACAAAAACCAAAAAGGAACCTCAGTTGGAGCCGATCTGTTTAGTGATGCAAGAAATTACAGTTTGTGTTGTAATAATAAATGGTTACATTGTCCAATCAATTCACCATGTGTTTGTCATACACTTCCATTTTAATTCAATAACTCCACAAACTTAGATTGGTTCTACCTTTTTAACCATTTGACTATGTTTCAAGCATAGCTAGGTGCTGTTAATGTCTGAGAATAGTACTTGAATTATTTGCCATTGCTGAAAATCCCACAGTGGGATATTAGGATGTCTTCTATTTACTTATATGACTTAAAAGAGATCAAAATTTCAAGTCCTGTGCTAGTAAACAGGCCTAAAATTGACTTGCCATTGCAAGCTTAGTTCAGTGGCTCACTTACAAGGGTGAATTTTAAGTCTATCGGCATCTTAACTTCTGTAATAGAGTGTGTAGGGAACTGCACTCACTCACATCAGTCTGAGCCAGGATGCCTTTTCTGTACTGGAACCAAAACGCGAGAGTCCCAAATTTGTAAAGAAATACTATTTCTTGGCATCTTAACTTCTGACAACTCTCTGGAAATTTTGGTCCCTGACCTGTGCTTTAAATTTTTATTTTTTTTACTGGGTGTTTTGCCACTTTAGTTTTTGGTTCCACGGTGGGCATTTATAAGTTGTGCCAGTAGTCTATCAGTGACTATATGAGGCTATAGCTGAAGTAGCTTTTCACTGCTGTTGCTGTATGTTGGGAATGTCACAGCCTTGTCATTACAGTGAATATAATGTATGGTCTAGTTACTTATTTCCTTGTTTTTATATCTCATCCAAGTCAGTGGATTTGCCAGTTTTGCTTTTTTTTTTTTTTTTTTGGAATTATTTATTTTGTCATGCATGGGTTAAACAAGATACACTTACACCAGCAATGCCACAACAGCTAATGTCAGGGTTTTCATAAACCTATATAAACAATCATATGGCATGGATAAACTGCACATTTTTATATTTTATGAGACAGTGTGGTGCAAGTCATAGCGTGCATGTAAGAGGCTATTTAGGCTTATCCACTGATTATGTAACAGACACTTAATGAATGAATATTCCTGAGTATACCAACATTTCACTTAGCTTGGTTATTAGGTAGCTTGATAACAGTATATGAAAACATCTGATAGGTGAGAATATACTGTAAGATTTCCACCCCCAGTGATCCCCACGCCAGCAAGATTAGTCAGTGTCCATGTACCATGAGACCCGTCTCAATGAAGAAACCGGGGAACAGGGCCATATCCACCTAACTTTGCTTCAGGGAGGCAGGGCAGCGGCCGGCCGTCCCGCCCACCGCCTGAGCGATCTCCATCTTGGGGGACAGAGAGCACCCTTCCAAGGGACTAAAACTGTACAACAAGCCTCTCCTCGGGACCAGGGTGTCTTCTTGCACTGGGTCAAAGCTGCCAGTCGTCAGATAGGTACTGGTTTGGTGTTTTTGGGCTAAAATTAGTGAAGATTGCAGGAGCTGCTCTGGTGTGCGACCGTTCAGCATGGCGGTCTGCCTCCGCCAGTTATGCATTTTAACTGCCGTTTGGCTGCTTTAATTGCATTCAGCCAATATGGAGAACGCTGGAATTCAGATTCTGGTCAGTAATCAGAAAATCCACACAAATGATCACAGGGTGCAGCATCACAACAGCTTTAACAGATGGCATATTCTATATTTTTTCACCATGTGGTCATCACTTTAGACCTTAGGCATGTTCTAATAACACTACAAAATGACTAATTACAAAAAGGTCTTCCACAATTAAACACTATTATGGCTATACACAAAAGTGGGACTTGTTGGGAATAAAAAGTAAATTGTAAGGTCAAAACAGTCAATCTGGAAGTATAGCTGACATGGAGATGTTTTCCAGTTTTGCTATTTTTGGCTTTTCTATTTGAAATTCACTTTGAATTCCTGACAGTTCTCTCTTTCGTGAATAACCTTCTCGTTGTCATAGTGAGGGAATTCTAAAGATGATGTATTGATATGTGTTTGTCTGGAAACTGAGATCAATACGTCCGTTGCCACTTTCCTAGTGCTTAGCCAATAAACCAATATTTACTAAGATAGCTATTGTCTAAATGTTTCCTTTCACACTTTTTTTTTTTTTAATAAGGCGGAAGACCCTATAATAAACACAAAGATTAAAAGGGGCACTGTATGCACCCAGACTACTTCTGCCCATTGGAGTAATCTGGGTGCCAACTCCCACTACCCTTAACCCTGCAAGTGTAATTATTGCAGTTTTTTTTTTATAAACTGCAATAATTACCTTGCAGGGTTAAGTCCTCCCCTAGTGGCTGTCTAGTAGACAGCCACTAAAGGGCACTTCCTGCTCCATAGCACAGGTTTTTGTGCTAGAGTGTCGCTGAACGTCCTCACGCTGTGTGAGAACCCCCAGCGTCGCTCAATTCCCCATAGGAAAGCATTGAAAGCATTTTCAATGCTTTCCTATGGAGAGCTCTAGTGCGCGGCATTGCCGCTCATGCATTAGGTTTCCTCGGCCAGCGGCAGCATCAATCTCTCCCACTGGCTGACGTAAGGATAAGGAGCGGCGGCGACCAGAAACCACCGCCGAGGGACATCGGTGGGGGTCTCAGGTAAGTGACTGAAGGAGTTTTCACCCCTTCAGCAACTGGGGATGGTGGGTTGGAGGGAGAGGGGACCTGCAGTGCCAGGAAAACGGGTTGTTTTTCTGGCACTGGAGTGTCCCTTTAATAGTGCCAAAAGTAGGATATTTATAAGTTGTGTATTCAAATCAGACTTTAATTTTTTCTTTCCTTTTTAAATTGTTGTATACAATCATGAATTTGTGTGCTTGGGTTTAAATTTGCATTTAGAGTTGCAAGAAGTATGGGCATGTTAAATTAACAATTTCAAAGTTATATTTTGTGTACAGAAATCTTCCCTTCACATTAGGGATAGTTTAGCAGAAGTACAAAGGGAACACCTGAGCAACCTGAAGGCATGCAGCATAGAGTCCATTTTATTTAATAAGCAAAGGAAAAAGTGTAGTAATAAAACAATATCCATAATTCATGTGTGAAAGCATAATCTTTCAGCCACATTTAAGCTTCTGGATCCACAATATTGTGAAGACTGATCTCATCATATCCTAGGCAATAGGAATGAGGAAGCATTACCGAATTTTTTAAATTTTCTTCTAAATTATGGTAGTGTTTAAAAAAAAAAAAAAAAAAAATTAGTAATTGCCTCAACTCCTCCATATAAACTTCCTGCAGCCTTCATGCCTATAATTAAATCCTATTTGAGCAAATTGATCAGAACAGTAATCTCTACCTAGCTACTAAAGCTAGTTGTGGGTTCTGGCGTTAAGTACAACTACCGGAGGCTGGCAGAAAACTGGCTTGTGACTCTCTTATGCGACCAGCTCAACTCTCAAATACACAACAATGATCAGATGACCAAAGAAAGTGGATGGGTTGGGACATTTGGCTCAGGTAGGTCATGTCACTGGATCAATCAAACTGTGGTGATGAATGTTTACCACAGAAAGATTTAAGCCTTCTAACCAACATTGGCTATCCAATAATGGATGACCACAAGAACAAAATCAATTGCACTAAATTTAAAATAGGACGGGTTTCATCCTTCAAACATTTCATCTAACAAGCAGTTGGATAATTGGCCAACAATAGCTAAACTTCATCTCCACCTTAATAATTAAAAGAAGATCCCACCCCGTATTGAGTTTCTCTAAACTATCATGGATTTGGTGGAAGAATTCCTATTTGGGATCAGGCTTGCTACCTCAGATTGTGCCCTCTTTTTCCTTGGGAATCTGAATTGAAGTCTTTGTTCTGATAGTGTACGTTAGTCCACTCACTTCGTTTCAAATTGAGTTCAAAAGCCACTCATTTAAACTGCTCCTTGCATTCTACGTTCAAGAACTTGGAGTGGAGAAACTCCTGGACTTAATCCATACTTGGATGTTGTTTTCCTCCTACCCTGCAGCAGAGAATGTTCCTGTAAAATTATGGCTTGCAAATTCTAAGAAACTATTTATATGTTTTCATCTAATGTGCATTATCCTTTTGAGTCAAGGTTGCAAGAAAATTTAATGCAGAGAGACAAAGACTCACTTGGTCATGAGTAATATGTAGTACATAAAAGCTTTTGTACAGCTCCAACAAATGTTAAAAAAATGCAACATATGAGTACTGCAATATAAATGCTGGACTTTATTGTGAGAATGGTAATCCTTTAATGCCAGCGTTCATTAAAACAAAATATACGGATTACATTCAATTTACAGGCCTGTAGTCAATGTGATTAAGGCATGTGTCACACTACATATGGCCTTGCCATATGTAGTGTGACACACTGCTTATTTATCCAAACCAGCTTGTAGCAAGCTACCCAACATTAATTTTTTTTAAAATATAATCCTGAAGTTGGAATGTTCTTGGCATACTTTTGAATTGTCTCTCTTTCTAACCTTAAACTCTTACTATAAACTGCCCTTGTGCCCCTCTTATTTGGAATTCTAGGAAGCTTGTGTAGGAGCATGCGATCATGCTCCAAAGCGATGATGTGAAGAGTGAGAGATGTTTAAACTGCAGCAAACATATAGAGATTAGTCTTTAAAGTCTATTAAAATGTTATATACGTGATATGTGTTAGGTTATGATGTTACATAAACGTTCCAGCCAAACTACCTTAACGTGTGCTGCTGATTTGGTATTTGTAATGTAGAAGTATTTTTAGATTGATAAAATTGCTCATGTGTACATTAAATTAAGCATATCTTACTATACACTGATGCCGGTATTATAAGCAATATCTTGGAGCCAGTATGTGATAGTTTCTTAACTAAACTTTAAATTGGAACACATGGAACGTTTTGGCAATGGTATCTTACGTTAAAAATAATCAGGCTGCTGTAGTTACAACGTGGATATTGTAGCCTAATTTTGTTTTTGGGGGGTTTGAAATTTACTACATTTCAAAGTTCCCAGAACGGCTATATTAGTGCCTCTGTTCACAAAATGATGTAATCAGAAAGAGCTTTTGGCTTTTTTAAAATCCAAGTTTGTACCATCTAGAGACCTTTGCTTTGAGCTTGGCCTACGTCAGGCACATGATACAAAACACAAAGTATTTTCTGCAAAGGTGGCTGGCATAAGGAATCTTGTCAATTGTTGGACAACAGCTGATGAAATTGTTGTACTAAATACAATGTTTGTGTCAATCACACCTGTTCATTCTCCTTTCATCACTTTTTTCTTTGATTCACTTACTTTTTAACTCATCACTGCTTGTATGACACATGGAAGATTAATCCACTACTTTATTTAAACACACATACTAATGGAGAACATTGCCGTGCACTCGATTCTGTATATTCCAAATTCATATTGTGCAATGCAAAGTTTAATGAGCAACCAAGCCTGAAACTCCTGCAGGTTTGATTAGTGTAGAGAATTCAATTCAATTTGTCTTAGGGTCAAATCTACAACTGTAATAGTTATAAACGGTTACCGTTTTGATTTAGATTTTATTTTTTGTGTGTCTCTAATGTAAAATACCGACTATAGTTTAGTGAATAAATCCGTAGTGTGTGGGTTTTTTGGTTAACCAAATGCATTGCTCACTTTTAATATATTTGTAATGGTCGTCGCTTGTTGTCAGGTACATAGAATTTGCCTGACCACATCTAATCTTCAACACAAAATTAGAAAAAAGTAGCTTTGTTCACTAAACAGTGCATTGTTCTATTTGCAACTATGTTGGCTAAAATGAAAACCGAATTTTGACTATTTCCTATAGTTTACAATTTTGTTAGCAACTTGGTATTTAGTGAATAACCCCCAACTGGTTCATGGTTCATATTCTGCCACCCGAAAACCTGGTCTTTATTGATGCTTTAATTGCTGATGACCTCTTTCTTCTTTCCTTTTCAGAACAACTGGAGTAATCCCCTTTAACAATTTTGCAGAAATGTAAGGTTGCGTTGTTGCGTGCGTGTGTGTTTAAGCAAGCTACCAAAAGAAAATGAAAAAAGCCCTCTGCATGTATCAAAAAAATAAATCTTTTCCTTTTTTTTTTGAGAGAGAAAAAAAAAATGTTTTGGAAGCTTCAACCGAGAGGATTATACGCTTCGCAGAGAAGATGCAATATTTGTCTTTTAAAATGTTAATCCTTTCATGATAGAGGAAATAGATTCTGGAGAGATGAGCGAATTCCCTCCAGCAACAAAACTGAGTAGGCCCAAGCAGTATAGCCAAGTTTCCATGTTTCCCGCCATGTAAAATATATCAGTAGATCATGTAGTGCATGCTTTCAGTTGTAAGTAGTCAAATGTCTGTATTGTATCATTTTCATTATAAACCGCTATGTATAATATGCACTTCTATTTATAAATTTCATTAAAAAGCTGCAGATGTTGAATGTTTTAAAATGTAAAACTCCAGTTCACCATTTCATATGTTGATTTTTTTTTTTTTTTTTAAACTCGTTTTCAGTGTGCAAATGTCATTTTTTTTGCACTGTAATAATGTAACTTATTAAATTAACTATAAAGTGGTTATAACAGATTTTGGTGCAATACGAATATTGTGATGCTTCTATTAAGAGAAAATGTCAGTTACTGCAAAAGCATGTTTGGCCTTCTAAATTATTGTAAATAAGTTAAGTTGTTTAATCAATGCTGACATAAGCATCATAAAATTGTTATGGTTTCAGGTAAATAAAAGTTTGTTCTTACAGACTCTCTATTTAGATGACGTGTGTGGTCTTGTTTGCTTTGGGGAAAGGGAGGGGGGCAGGGGGCGGTTATTCACTGAACTCTGATTGCTGGGAAGTTTAAAACCAAAATGCTAAAATACATGACTTGGAAAACTTCCATCTCTGTTATAGTCAGGGCCTATTTGCCTAAAGTTTGCAGTCTGATTTTCAGTGAGCAAAATAAACAGACATAGAGACAGATGAACTGCTGCAGGACTGCATTTCAACAGCAAGTGGGCGTTTTAATAAATGACAGCCTAAACTAAATGCTTCCGGATTTACTCCATACACCATTTATCACAGGGGGAATTTATATCAGACCGTGGACATGGTGGTACACAAGCCTTACACCCAGGTAGTCGCTTTATGTATGTGCTATTTACTGGGTCTTCAGGGAAAGAGGCTAAGATTGATTTGACCGTATTAATGAAATGGACCATTGTCATCTGCTCAAAGAGAAAGTCCCTAAAAAGGGTATATCCAGGGAGGCAACGCTTTCAAATGTGCCCTTTGCTGGGTCTTCAGGAATTAGAGGCTTAACCCGGGCTGGGCCTACAAAAATATTGTCCTGGTGAGTATAAAATAAAATCTAAGCCTGCTAAATTTTAACGGTCTTCTTTTGTTTTTCCTTTTAGTTTTTATTTCCTCATATACCTTGTTTCTTAATGATTATACTAAGCCTGTGCCTTCCCCCTGCCTTTATATATAATCTATATATGTGTGTGTGTTTCTGTTCTAGTGTTAGCTCTCAAGATCTAGATGCTGCAGTTTTGTTCCCTTCTTTCATTAATCTTAAATTTGCTGTTCTGTGGAATGCTTTTGATTTGTGGATTGTTGGTAAATTAGCTAAGCAACTGAAATGGTTCTTTCCTTAAACTCCATCCATTGCATAAGGTCACTGTCCCCTAAAGAAAGTCACAATTTTTTGGAATGTACAAGTGAAAAAAACTGAATTGGGGGAAAAAAAAAAATTAAAAGCATTAATGTTAACCCCCTCCCCCCCCAAAAAAACCTGTAAAGTGACAGTACTGCTTTAAATCTTTGTTGACAACTGGGCTTCTGGCAAGGGTAAACAGTTTGATGTAAATCTACGCATGCTTACTACATTAATGTGCACAATGGCTGAAGTCATCATGGGTGCTAAAACAGACTTCCAAGTCCAGCCTGACTAATTTACAGGCATCTGCCAAACAAATCATGGGTGCACTTTACAGAGCACCGCATATCCTCTGTTCCAGAGGCACCAGGAGTTCTCAGGACATGTCCCTGCCAGTGTCCCAGTGTTCTTGAACTTGGTTGGGTCTACAGGTCGAGAATCTAGGGTGTGATCCAGGAAGAAGATGATGGTACACAGGAAAATATCTGTATGCCCCACAGTTGATAGAAAGCAGTTAACTAATGAGCTCTGCATGTCCATTTTAGGTGCAAATCCTCTCTGCAAAACACCAGAAGAACAATGTGTATCTGACACTCCGTAAGTGTTCGGATACAGCTGTTCAGAAAGCAAGCGTGGAGCCGGTCAAATACACAAAACAAGTCCTCTGCATGTCTCTGAGGATTCTCACTTCTTTTCAACATCTGGATTATAGTCAGTGGCCATCTTAGACAGTTTAATAGATTGGCATTTTCAGTAAATCTGGTAATTTTGATGCTTCAAAGAACATCAATGCACCTCTGACAAAGACTGGAAAACCCACTCTGGTTGAGGGGGGAGTAGGAGCATTTTAGACTGCAGTAGGTCAAGAGATTGATTACCTATGCTGCCTGTAAAACACACCAGGCCAGAGTGTCAAGAGTACAAAACGCACAACTAAGCACTGAAACCAAGAGAATTTGGGGGAACACAGGGGACAACCTAATGAACACATTACATAAGCTGCATGCCTCACCATCCAAACACAAACTGCAGTACAACCACTGCGACCCCCCGAATCGACCAGCCAAGGGCAACGAAACCAAATACTACTCTGGATGACCTCCTCTCCCTTTAGAACCCCTATCTCTCCCCTCTCTCCATCCTACTGTGCACTCCACCTCACCCCACCAGTTGAACATAGTGGGTTGAGATAAGACACAGGTCTACACACCCTCTAATGGTAAAGATGTAAGAAACATCTAGTGCAAAGCACTGCTAAACAAAAAGTCGCCAATATCACAGGAACCTGATCATGTGTGATTGACACATTACTAAAATTGCCCAACGGCAAATACCATGTGTGCTGTGAAGAAACAAAATGTGCAAAAATAAAAGAAAGTAAAAAGAAAAAATCTCTAATAAGTCAGAAATAGGCGAATGATCGATCTAAAAACAAATTAGCACCATCTAATACGGTAACTATAAACGCTATAATAGTGATTCTATACCGATCTTAGTAGTTATCCCTGTTACATCACCCACTGAGCATAAGTCTTGGCACAGAAGTGCATAGATTTATACTCGCGATATTTGTGATACGCTTTTACTTGATCCTGGAATAGGTAGTACGATCTACTCACACCTCGTTCATAGTTACCTTATTAGGTGCTGATCATTTATTTAGATTGGGTTATTCTCCTATTTCTGACTTATTTACTAGGGATTTTTTTCTTTTTACTTCCATTATTTTTGCACATTTTGTTTCTTTACAGCACACATGGTATTTGCTGTTGGGCAATTTTAGTATTTTTCACAAAAGTTTTTATTTTTCATATTTGATATTTTCCTTTACCTGGATTTATAATTTGTACCTGTGTATTTGTTACCCATCCCAGCTCCCTCCTTTGGTACACTACCTTTTCTATAATTCTCCCCTGTAAATATCTACTTTTTGTTACTTTGCAATTTTTTTCACAGACGAAGATATAGATAAAGGAAATTCTATCAGTAGTGCAAAACTGACAAACAAATAGTGTAAACACCTAAAGTAGCAGTTTCTAAACTCTCCGCAACTTGAGCCCCTGTCCTGGATAAAACCTTTTTTTTTTGTATCTGCTTCTAATTTTTATTAAAGGACACAGAGGCTCATTATGCTTTCTCTTTCTTTAATCCTCAGCATCAAAGAAAAGATACTGTAAGTATTTAAAGAAAAAATACAACATGTACCCTAGAGGCTTAACCATCATACAACATATTAACCAATAGGCAGTGGTGTATCCTGGTTTTGTGCTGCCCTAGGCAGCACAAAACTCAGGCGCCCCCCACCCCCACCCAACCCTTCCCCCCCGCCTCACCTTCTAAATACACACACACACAGTCAGACACACACACACAGTCACAAACACACACACAGTCAGACACAAACACACACACACACAGTCAGACACAAACACACACAGTCAGACACAAACACACACACAGTCAGACACAAACACACACACACAGTCTGACACACACACAATCACTCACATTAACTTTTTTTTTATTTAAACCTCCCCCCTAACCTCCTTACCTTTGGGAGTGCTGGGGGTCATCTGTGTGTGTGTGTCTGACCCTGGTGGTCCAGTGGCTACCGGTCGGGCTGGAGGGGCGTGGCGGTACTTCCTCTGAGCACTCTGCTCAGCTCCCTCGCGGCCGCAGAATGAGGCTGGGAGCCAGAAGATGACGTCATATTCCGGCTCCCAGCCTCACTCTGCAGCGCGCGAGGGAGCTGAGCAGAGTGCTCAGAGGAAGTACTCCCTCGCCAGCTGCCCACCCACTCGGGATGTCAGTTAGCCACAAGGCATTTGGGGGGCGGCGTTTTTTGCCGCCCCCTGAAAAATGCCGCCCAAGGCAAATGCCTTGTTTGCCTCGCGGCTAAAACGCCCCTGCCAATAGGAATGCTCCTTGCACTATAATGTCCCACAAGACCTTAAGCCCCTACTCATTCTTTGGTGCTGCCTACTCTGTATTGATTTTATTATTTCTATAATATATCACTGCATTGGTGTATATTTAGTCAGTGTATATATTGATTTTTGTACTGTTTTTTTTTTTTATTATTATTCCTAATGTTTATGTGGCCTGGGAGCACTGTTCCCTCATTCCCTCACTTCAGCTCACCTTCCACCCCCCTCTGTTACCCAACCTGTTTCTTCTGTCTGCACGGAGCCTGTGACTCCTCTCATTGTTGGGTACCGCTATTCGGCAGGCGCAGCTCGAATATGTGCACATCGCAAGTGCACATCATTGCGGCCATCTTGTGATTGGCAATTTTGTCGTGCTTTCTTTCTCGGCCAATACCTCTCGTTTGGGGACGGGGTAAAGTAGGCTGTGTGACTGAGAGCAGCCTCCCAGTGTTCCCCAGGAGCCAATCCTGAGGGAGCACTCAGTGAGCTTGCTTTTTTTTGTCAGTGTGCCTAGTTATTATACTGGTCATTGTGCCTAGAGAAAGAAATTGACGGGGGAGGGAGGGGGAATGAGAGTGGGGAGGGGAAAAGAAAGTGACAAGGGGGGGAGAGGGGTGAGAAGAGAGTGATATCCATCACACACAATGCATCCCTTACACACAAAGACAATGCACCCCTTGCACACAGAAAAACGCACAATGCATTACACACACACATACACAAGCAATGCAACCCTTACACACAATGCATCCCTTACACACACACTCAATGCATCCCTTACAGACGCACACACTGCATCCCGTACATACACAGAAACACACCTTGCAGCCCTTACACATACAAACCCAGATTTACACAATGCATTCCTTTCACACATATCAGGACATCCCCTACACACTCCACCCCCTGTGAACAAACTCATTGGTTGTACATGAAGGTGGACCCTGGGACCCAGACCTTGAGCTGTATAAAGGGCCCCAAAAAATTAAGCTGCTTCCTGTTCTCCCAGAACATTGATTTTTGTGACCACAGTTACAAACCGCCTCCAGAGAGCCTGTTCTATACCAGACCAGTGGAGCCAGACTGCAGCTAGAGCCCATCATCATCCTCATCTGGTTGTAAGTAGGCAATCTAGTATATTATTCGTGGCACTAATCTCTAATGTACCTCACATTAAATAAACACTATAG